ATTTTCAAAATTGTTTCAGCAGAGATTAACTGAAGTATTGTAATCTTTATTATTTTCATTATCTTCAACAAAAAAAAAATATTCTCCTTGATAATGCGTCTGAGTATAGAAAAATATTTACATTAACGTTAGCTAATAATTATTTATAATTACACTAATTCTAACGATTTTTTTTGTCTTGAAGTCCTTTTAAATATATTACTTTAAGCAAGTGTATTGTTTATGTAATTCGAAACATTTTCAAAATTGTTTCAGCAGAGATTAACTGAAGTATTGTAATCTTTATTATTTTCAACAAAAAAAAAATCTCCTTGATAATGCGTCTGAGTATAGAAAAATATTTACATTAACGTTTGCTAATAATTATTTATAATTACACTAATTCTAACGATTTTTTTTGTCTTGAAGTCCTTTTAAATATATTACTTTAAGCAAGTGTTTGTTTATGTAATTCGAAACATTTTCAAAATTGTTTCAGCAGAGATTAACTGAAGTATTGTATTGTAGCCTGGTACATTCCGTGTACAAAGGAAGCGATAAGATGGCAGAGAAAGCAATAGAAAACTATCCATTTGACCCAAACATGATTTTAATGGTAAAAGTAGCTTTAAACATCAGCGCTAATCAATAAAATCTGTTATTTTTTTCAGCAAGAATTGATTAACTTGATTTGACAGTTCTACGAACACACAGCTCTCATCCTTTCACTCATGGAGAAAATTTAATTTAACCCTTATTTTTAATAACAGCAAAAAAAGAACTATAATATCACATCTATATTAGTATACTCTTTAGGATCGTCTCACATAGCAAATGTCCAGAAAGGTACAGCGATTTTCGAAAGCCAGGATTCCAATATTTTCGTTCAATTCCAATGACAAAATCTCGCTCATTCATGACGAAATCTCGCTTTTCACGTATAGTTTATTAGAAAATTACTTTATTACATAAACCAGAACTTTTTTTTTAGTTAAGCTTGTGTCATTAATTTCTGATTTTATTATATTCATAATGTTTTCAATATTTTGTTGCACTTTATTATATAATTTCTGCGGTTTTCACTCAGGGTTACAATAAATACAGAGAAACTCTCTATCAAAATTTGTCTTTTAATTCTTTATTTACCTAACTTCTTAGCTTATTAATATAAATAATTAAAGTTTTTTTAATAACATCTGTTTCTCTATATATGTTTTAATCAATAGGAAAGATAATTTCAAATAATTGCAGAACAGTGACACCTATTGATATTTTATAATACTATCAAGATGTTTGTGTAACTTGTTTTATAAAACATTTATTCTTTTATTTTCATTACGAAACTAAGTTGCAATATTTGGTGTATCAAATCTTTGAAATAACTGTATTATACAACTACAGTCATTGGATCGTAACATAACCTATAATATTTGAACAAAGTTTTCAGTCAGCAATATTTATAGTCATAAACCGGCAAACCAAAGACAAAATCATGTCGGGAATAATTAAAAGTGCATTCCAGAGAGCTTCTCGGATATTGCACAATTCGACAATCCAGCCTACTACACAAGTAAGATCCCAATTGTGTTATAATTATGGTTTTCATTGATGTGATTTCAGAAGTTGAACAAAGTATGGTATGGCCAGAACAAAGCAACTAGTGAACAGGAACTGAAAGACATTTTGAAAGCTAGGTTTCCGGGTGCCACAGAAATCAAAGTGGAGGATGTGTCTGGAGGTTGTGGAGCCATGTATGATATAATGGTTGAGACTGTCGAATTTAAAGGACTATCTATAGTCAAACAACATAGGGCTATAACAGATTCACTTAAGGAACAAATCAAACTTATTCATGGTTTGCAAATTGAAACCAAAGTTCCGAAATGCTAACTATTTATTATAAATTATGTAGATTTTGTTATATAAATGTTCACACTTAAATAAAAAAAATATATGAAACAATTATGTTGCTTCTCATTTAATCCACAACAATATAAACAACTTAAAGTGAAACTGGGAATGCATGAGATTTACAAAAAGTATCAAATTTTGATGGCTAAAAGGGAACATCAATAATGAAACATAATAATTAGGAAATCAGTATATCTTGTATATTTGTATGATTTTGGGAATTTCAAAAGATTCTTTTTTGCAGGTTTTTTTCCTAATTCGTGAAGGAAATATTCTACTGTATACATATAAAATTAAAACCTAAAGTAAAGTTAAGACGCTTTGAGACACATTTAAAGTTCAGTCTTTTCTTGTTTTGGATTTCCCTGCCTGTCAAAGCCCTTCAACTCTTTAGTGGCGTGCTTGGCGATGTACTTAAGGAAGTCGTCGGCTTCCCTGCCGCCTTCGTACCTAACTGGGGCATCCTTGGAGTTCTTAGGTACCCAGAACAAAGTTGGGAAACCGCGGACATCGAAGGTTGGTGGAACATCGTTGGCAGTAGCATCCATCTTCACGATGGATACTTCCTCATTCTCCAGCTTCTGGGCGACCTCATCGTAGGCTGGTGCCAATTTCTTGCAGTGTCCGCACCATGGGGCGTAGAACTCGATCAACGTATCTTTGCCATTATCCATGACGATTTCATCGAAATTCTTGGCAACAGCTACTTTAACTGGTTCGGCGTTGCTCTCTGGGATTGCTTCAGATTTCAAATATGATTCCAACTTCTCTTCAAGCATATCCTTGATGAACTGCTCCAAAGCCTCCATGGAGAACTCATCCTTCATCACGAATTTCTGGTTCTTGGCGTTCCTGGCCAAAATCGTTGGTTTATCTCCCTTAACAAAGTCGATGCCATATTCGTTCAGTTCGTGTTGGAATTCGTCCTTTGAGCTTACAGCAAAGGTGAATTTGTCCTTGTACTGGCTACCAATCTGGTAAAAAAAACATATATAAGTATCTTATTGAAATTATAATGCCTTAATAATACCTTCAAAATCCTGTTACGCCAGTAATTGGTACCTTTGACGTTCTTCACGTAATCGACGATGTAGTAGGCAACGATCAATGGGTTTTGGAAGTCTTGTTTGTTATCCGCACGACGATGACCAACAATGCCATGACTACAAACGAGATATTAAACTTTAGTCAATATGTAAACAATAAACGTTCCTATTTCAAACAATACACTTCTACGTTAATTGGAATACATATAAGTCATATTGAGTCATCTACAACGCATATATGTTTCCTATGCGAGACATAAAAGTGTTTCCTGCTTTTAAAAATATTTCTATTATCTATCAAACATATTTTTCAAAAGAAAATTTATGATATTTCTTGTCATGAAATACTAAAAAATATTCCAATAGAAATAACACAAATCTAATTTCTTCAGCTATATAAAAAATACTTAAAAAATTATAGAACAAAATTTGCTCATGAAATCAATATTAATTACAAATCATTAATAAAATCAATATAATGAACTCAACAAATTCATATTTATATATTTAAATTGAAGAATAGAAGAAACTTACTAGTTTTTGGTGATAAAGTTGTGCAATTTGTCTACATTGGAGTCGGAGAATACAACAAAGTCTTCTTCAAATTTATTGGACAAATGTTTGGGACGGTACAACACTACATTATCCCTTGAATAGACAAAAATAAAGTAATTAATGATAGTTCAAGTAGTGAAGATTAAGATTCTTACTTGTATCCTTTAGTTGCCAATACATCACTGAATGAGGAATGAGCAAACCTGATCTTCTCCCTCTCTTTGTTAGCCAGCTTGAGGAAAGCAGCCTTCAGAGAACTTTCCTTCTCAAAAAAGCCAACGACGGAGACGTCCTTTTCGACGGTCAGGAATTTCTCGAAATCAGCCATACTGGTCAGCTCCTTAGAGCTGGGTCCAACTTGAGCCTTCATGTACTTAACAATACCTGGAGCTTCCCTTGGGCCGCTGTATTCTTGCGAGACTTCTCCATTTCTGAAGATCTTCAGCGTAGGATATCCGCTGACGCTGAACTTGTTGCAAGTCTCCTTACCAGCCTCAGTACAATCGACCTTGGCCAGATAAACAGGTGGATCATTCCTGATCAGATCCTCAGCAGCCTTGGCGTATTCGGGTTTTAATCTTTTGCAGTGTCCGCACCTGTAGAAGAATATACCGGAGTCAATGACATGTATGGGCGATTCAAGGTCCTTCCGGCGTTCTCATAACTACGTTTACCGTAACGCGAGAAGCCACATTAACATCGGATACACCGAAGATGCGGAAGTTATAAAGAAAATAAAAATGAATCTTACCAAGGTGCGTAAAACATGACAAGAGCAGTTTCATATTCGTTGATCCTTGCCTCGAAATCAGAGTCGCCTAGATCAACAACATCCTGTTCACCGGCCAAACAGAGGCAAACGAACCCAAGGAACGTGGCTAACTTTAGGAACACCATTGTGCTTCCTCAAATTCAGAACAAAACGCTAAAGACGTTAACCGGCAAAGGTTTTCTCTCAGCTTCTCTACACCGAATGCCGCGACAGACAATCTTCTGATGCGGTACGTGGCCGAACCAAATAGCCGGCTGAAGTAGTCCTGGCGCATGATCATAGCTTAAGCGTTGGCTGCTTCTGATTGGCTAACATAATTCAAAATCCTGCAGGACACGTCAGTCCTGACTGCTCTTGACGTACCGTATATTATATTCTGTATTTTCCATTTCTAGAACACGATCTCTACATATGCCTACGCTAATTAATATTCATGTTCTTGTTTTGTTCCACCTAACTTATCTTTCAAAAACACTCAGATAAAAATACAGTTATCAGCAATGCCAGAAACAAACACAGTTTTGCTTAGAACGTAATTTATTAAAATAAGAGAAAATTAAAGTATATATAATACAAAACAATTATTATCTCTGCAAATTAAGGGAAAAATGAAAAAAAATATTATATACAAATATATATACACACTTCCACGTGTATACATATTATTATTTATATATAAATAATATAATCATCGATAATACATGATGACAAAGAAAGAAAAAGAAGTCCTGCATAAACGATAGTACACCATGCAAGTAATCAAAATAATATACAACAGGAAAAATAAAAGTCAAACAGCTCCAAGAACGAAAATTGAATGAAAAACATAATTGTTCCATTTCATTTTACAACATCGATACAGATTACTTGACTTTTATTTTTTGTTACCCACATTTAAGATTAGTATGTTATTTCTACTGGAAAAAAAAATTCGGTACATTCATAACATTAGTTAACACTGAAAAACATTTAATTCGGATTATAAGTTTTTTTTGTCTTCCCCCATTTCCATTCGAACGACTGCGAACATTATGTGCTCCCATCGGGCGAGAAGAATTATACCATTCTTTTCTTATTTTTTTTCTTCTTCTTTCACAGTTACAGAGATTAAGAGAAATAGTTTTAGAAATACGTGTATAATATAATATATATATATTTATATATATATACACATATACATATGTTTTCATTCAGTTCTTGTATACAATAGAACATAGCGTTGAAGAAATATACGGAAATAAGGTGTCGAAAATAAAGTGGAAAGTTTTATTTGGAAAATATACAACAAAAAAAAAAGAAAAACTATGTGACTTCAGTGTTCGTTATTGTTTGGAGAGAAGGGAAAAATGGCAGAACAAAAATATAAAATCAAACAATACTGGCACTGCTATAACCGAAGAGCAATGCGATAAGACAATCAAATAACAATGCGATCAAAAACTTGTATACTGTAGAGTAAAAATATGATAAAATGAAGAAAAACAAAATATATATAAATTTGCAATAAAATTGTTAAAGTCTACAAAATCGAGTGGTTTCTGTTCAAATAATTTTTTTTTTCATTTTTAAATAAAACATGAAGGGCTACTCCCGGCAAAAAATATAAACTACATATCAAGAATATTTTAGTGAAAGGGAAAAGATTCTCAATCACATTTAAATCCTTACAGAGTTACAACAACATTTAGGAGTATACTATAATAGTAGGTAGTATATATGGATTATATGTTTTTTTTCATACAGCGACAACAAGACATTGACATTGGATTGATATATATGTTTTTTTTCATTAAGTATTTTTCCTTTTAATAAATTTCACTAAAATTTTCTGGTTTTGGTTCAGGTCTTTTGCTCAGGGAGAGCAGCAATTCTCTCATTTTCTTTGCTGTCAAGGTAGAATCACCTTCCAAATCAAATTATTTCTGCACGTACACGCACCTTCCTTGCTTTCCTATTTTTTTCCTTTTCCTTTTCCTTGTTGTTATTTCTTTTCATCTTCTTTTTTTCATCAAACAAAACAAAAAAAAAATTATACAAAAAAATAATAATCAAAGAAAATAGAGAAAATATTCATTCTTAAAATTTAACAATAAAGGAGTGAATCTGAGGATCATTCAAATTCAATCTATCACGTCAAAATGCCATTCGGCCCTCTTTACAAAAATACGTGTGCCTCTGAATTGAAGAAACTTTATACACATAAATAAGGAGTAAACTAAAGAGGATCACAAACATCGCAAATTTTACTTTTTCGTTTTCATGTTATTCTTTTTTTTTTAAACCCTTGCAGTGTAGAACTTCCCTTTGCGCTAACATCTTATAATTTACATTGCAAAATATTAGCTCTGTACACTCAAATATAACTTATTTACATAAAAGGAAAAATATTTGTTATATATATATATGGTTTCTTTTAACAGATAATATATATATATATAAATTTATATATATATATTTGTGGAGTGTTAAGTAATGTCACATTGAGAAATACATGTGCCTCATAAGACCATTAATTGGACACCTTAACACACTGATCAGTCTTCAAAACAAAAAGAATTAAGAGTGAAAAAGAGAACATTTATAATTTAAGCAAAGCCGAAGCCTTCTGAGCACTCATGAATTGCTTTCAGCAAATATGAGCGCAACTTGTCATATGTTTCATAGACTGGTAGATCCAACTGGTTGAAGCTGAAAAGATAAACAAACAACGATTATATAATGAAACCAATGCTGGACTAATCTTCGTTCATATTACCAGGTATGCGCCGATGGTAATCTGTCAGTTGAACGGTCATCTCTGTGTATTTGGAACTTCTGAACTCCATTCATGCCCTCGAGGGCACCAAATCCTTGCAAAGGAACTTTCGATGTACCAGTCACAAACTGAAGGAATTTTGCTCTATCGGCCTGGTCCAACGATCGTAAAGCTCGCCAGAACCATTGAATCTATAAAAAAAGGAACTCATCAGTTAATGCCATTACAATGAATTTCGTAAATTACCTGAAGGGAATTAGATTGGTATTTGTGGTATTCAGTGTTCGATTTTAAATCCTCGATATCCACGTTGGGAAGGCCGGATATTAGGAGTTCCAACTCTTGTTCATTGAATATTGAAATAAGTCTCTTGGGGATGATGTCGTAGAAACCTTCCAGGAATGCTGTCAGCCTAAGCAAGAAAACATCGATATTAATAAGCAGAATTATTAAAGTAAAAGAAGTTATTATATACTGTTGTCTGATGGCTCCGGTCATTTTCATCTGGCACGACCTTCTAACGTATTCCATTTTATTTTCCTCTGTTACGGAAACGTTTCTTCCATTTGGAATTAAATCTCTGGTTTCGGTGACTCCAAACTCGTTAATCTCGGTACTGAATGTCAAATCACAATCTAGGTTGTCGATGTTATTTTCCATCAAGTAGACTAAGCCTCTATAAAAACTGTAGTCCTCACTCTCCATATCAGTGTATTTGACAGAAATTCCTAGGATGTGTTTATAGAAAGACCGGGTAAAGTAGCATTCCAATAACTTATTGTCGTAAATTGCCTTGGCTACAAAATAATGCATTAATGTCTTGATATACTGAGTGAAATTTTCGCGAACTTACCGATAACTCTACCCACAAACTTATAATAACAAAGATGATTAGGATTGTAGTGACTTGCTGAGTTAATCATGTAAGTCACCCTATCTCCGGGGGAGACAGTGAATAGCGCATACATTGGATTGAATATGTCCCTGGATATTATTACATACCATTCGCGCAAAAGCCCACCAGCATCTTGACCTTCTTCGTCTAAATATTAAAAAGAAAAATACATGAAATAATGTAAAATATTACTCCAATTTCTAATTACCTTCGAAAACGATATAGAATCTATTTTTCCATTCTTCGGGAGTGCGTCTGTATAGTTCCCTGAATGAATCTTCAAAGATGTGTTCTCTTCTTACATGAACGGCAGTTTCCTCGCGTCTCAAATTCTGATCGAGACGCTCCAATTCGGTTCTAAAGTAGCGCCGCTTGATATCAAAATCTAACACTCTTGTGTGATCAACAAGAACTGAGAATGGTCCATCGGCGAGGTGTGCAGTTGTCTGACGTAAAATTTGATTTAAGACTGTTCGATGTTTTTCAGCGAAGTTCAAGAATTTAAGCTGATCTGGAGGAACGCTAACACGACCACTGGTTCCATCTGTAGCGGGAAGCTCCGTCCCAACAGCTGCTGGGAATGCTTCCTCTCGTTCATTTGATCCCGATGCTTCTGCAGCAGTCTTAAGCGCTGTTAATGACACATCCGGCTGCGGTGAATGGACTAGGAAGAAAGCTTCCACCGCTGGTTGTAAAACAAGGACGGCATGATGATCAGGAGTATGCTCCAACTCCAATAAACATAAACTCAAAGATTGCCAGAGTCCTTCCATATCGTCTAATTGATCGCTTAATGGAGACAAAATTATTGGAGTTTCATCGTTCTCAGAACCCTTCTTAACGATAGCTTCTCTTATCTGGACAATAACGCGAAGTACTCTCAAAAAGAATACCTGACTGGACGATTTAGACGTTAGAGGTGCCATTGAGGGAAGTTGCAGATCGCATGCGGACTTAACTTTAGTCGATGCTGAAATAACGACATGCTCATTGGTGAATCTGTTGGACAAAACTCCTTTCGACGTGCTTGGTGCAGACGCGTCTTCTGTCACCTTAGGTTTTTGGCTGGTGTGAGTCGCCTGTAACTCGTTTAACATTTCCATTATTTGTTCACGGACTATTTCGCCTATTCTTTTGGCACCGTTCAAGAGTAAACTCAGTATGGAATGACTCATGTCTAACGAACAGTTTGATAAATTCAATAGTAGTGTAGTAACCTCCTCTAATCCTTCTTCAGAACAACTCTTATAAGTCAACACATTAACAGCCAAATTGAGTGCGCCTTCTGGAGCTGAAGCGCTTTCATAATTTTGAACCAAATTCTTAGAGGCCGAAGAATCTTCTTTGACGATCTCTGGCATACCCTGCGATATAACTGATAACAATTTCAGAAGTTTATCAGTTAACTGAATACTTCCGCAAATGACATTGGAAGATAGCATTCCGATAAGTTGACCGAACGGCGATTGCTCGAAAGACTGCGTCAGATTTTCTACATCATTGCACATATTAAAATTACTGTGACCTTTGTTCAAACATTTGCCCTTTTTGGTGCTAGCTGCATCTAACTTTAACAACATTTCCCAAAAGTCTGTGGCTTCATGTTTTTTGCTGTTACTTGCAGACGCTTTGGATTTATCTTTAAATTTAAGAGGCAGCAGGTAGCTAGGAAAACTTCTGGACAACGATACAAATAGGTCCAAAGCATTCCTGCACACCACCGGAGCTGCTTGAGGATGGATGCTGACAGTTGAATTGCTCGCGTTCTTCTCTGTGCGTTTTCCTGATGCTCTGTTGACAATAAATACATTGGCATGGCAGCCGAGTGCCGCTTCCATGCGGATATTCAGCCAATTTGCGCCATTGCCCATATTTTTGGCATCGGTAGTCAGTTTGCTGCTTAGTGGACCGGGCTTCGGTATTTTCTTTGGTTTGTTCAAATTATCGTCCAGTTTTGTGTGCACACTGCGTTCAATAATAGAAAGTATTGCCTTAATCACCCAATCTCTGGTAGGAACGTGGTAGCACAAGTTCCTGATGACTCGGTGTAATCTTCCAGTGTTCAACTTTGGATCGTCGACAAATAACAGGATTAGCATACATGATAACGCCTCGTGATCCAGCAGCTGACGTCCGCGTATCTTGAAATGGCCACTGGCACTAATAGTTGTGAAATCGGGCCTTTGAGCCCACTGTGGTAATAAGTGTGTCGTGTTGAAGCGGGAGCCCAGTCTACCTCTTGCAGAATGCCTGATAATAGTTGTTAGATTAGCTTCGAGGAAGCGCTCTTGTACTTGTCTGTTGCGTGCTTCCCAATCGCGACGCAAAGTTTGAGCTTCTGCGGCTAGATCTGGTGGTAGAGCTGACATTTGAGAGTCCTCCATGTCAGATAAGATCTAAAACAGTTTATTTTAGTAAAGCAAGTGTTGGTCACGTTGATGTACTTACCATTGTACGCAAAGAAGGTTGCAGTGTTTCGAAGAACGAAGCTGCGTCAACAGGTTCGTCTGGATTGGCACGGGCCGCAGCTTGCCTCTGCTGTTCTAACCGTTGTTGAGTTAGAACCTCCTCTTGCAGAGAAGGCGGCAAGGCGGCTAAAAATTCTGGACTTACTTCACTTGAACCACCAGCAACACTTTGATCACCTGCCGCCGAACCTCCCATGCTTACACGCTGCTGGAGGCGCAGCATTCTGTGCTGCTCGATCACCTCTCTCCTCATTTCCGGGGGAAGAGCTTCCAAGAAGGAGGGATCTACGCCCTCTGGAATCTCTTCGCCGTCAGCATTACGTACAGATTGACCCGATGTTGCGGGACTTTCTGAGCTGCTTGTACTTGCTTGTGTGGCTGTCTCTGTAGCAGCAGCAGTAGCTCGTTCTTGGCTTTCAGTTTGACATGATTCTGTTGCAGTAGTACTGGTACTTGTGCTAGTGGATGTTGTACTAGTATTCACGGCAGCAGCAGGAGGTTGACCGACTGTTTGATTGTATATGTTTCGGAAAGTAGCAGCCAGCCTACGGCTCTCAGTCTGAAGGTCTTCCATTTGATCTTCGTCTTGTTCTTCATCTGCATCGCCAGCTGGCTCTTCGCCTCTTCTCATTTGCAGTACTTCCAATATGGGAGGGCTGCTGTGACGTGCTAAGGATGATAGCATGTTAGGGTTTATGTCGAGTTCTGAACTGAAACCCATTGGCATTGGCCAGTTGGGTACTGTACCAGTTCTCGTCATACGGCGTCTTGTTCCTATGATTCCCCTCTCTATACCGATTCCTTCCAAAGCTTCGTTAACTATAATATACAAATAAGGAAGTTAAATATGGACAAATTATATGAGTAGTTTCTATTTACTTTCTGCACGTGTTGCAGCAGGAAGTTGTCTAGTTGCCGCAGCAACACTGGGTGGTGCAGATGCCGCAGCCATCGCTGCAACCATAGCTGCTGTTGCAGAAGGGAATGCCATGTTCATAGATGCATCGGATGTTTCTTCTTTGGGCTCTTCATCTGTTTTATTAGTTGGTTTAGTAGACTTCGAGTCTTGTTCTAATTTCTTTTTGCGTTCATTTATTTCAGCATTCCTGAGTTTGATGAGATTCGGTATTAGCTTATTACTTATGTAAGTGATGATGTCTTGTGTAGAATCACCATCTACAAATCGGGATTCTTCCTTCCACCAATGTAGAACGACGGGTATATGATTGATGGTAGCCATCATGTTGTGACCCAGAAAATAGCCAGTCTGGTCAACGAAATCAATTTGTTCTTCGACGGAAGGAAAGATTCCGAAGTTATCCATTACGAGAACTCTAGCAGAATCACTTCTGCTGATGTTACTTACACCGACCATACCAGACGCTGGGATAAAGTTCGGAAGATGAATATTTTGTCCAGCTGGTCCAAGTAATCTGTTATGGTAGGCAATGTTTATTAGAATTGTTGTATAAATGTTGTAATCGAATAAGTGGTACCTTTGCAGTATTACTGGAGGATTCGTATTTCTTGTATTAAGCTGCAGATATTGATATCGGCGTGCGCGATTGGTCCTTTGGGTACGGGTCACGGGATTAGCAACTGTTTCAGTATTATGTCTCGAGACAAGCAAAGGATGTACAGCTGGAGCTATAAAATAAAATAATTAAGAATAATAAAGAAAATTCTAATCTGTTCATAGCAACACACATAACCGTTAAGCCAAACATAATAAAAGATAATAAATGTAAGAACAAGAAACAAAGATTCATGTATGTACCTGATTGGTCGGTGGTGGTACGAGAATCATCTAGTATAGGAATTGCGAACCCGTTATCGTTCCACCTAACCAGAGGAAGCGTTTCATCGGTTTCATGATGATCAGCATATTGTATCATCACAATATCTTCATCTCTATCCACATTCGGAGCTGCAGTAAATTTAAGTAAACTCATCATATGTTTCTAATAAGAAACGTAAATAATAATCGCCGAATATAAATATATAATATACATATATATTTATCATACATAGAAAGCAAAATTATAGTAATAATAATATGAACGAAAATCATTCCTCGTAAAAATCATGCAAATATAAAATTAATCATGTTTAACTTAATTAAGCAGATCTGATGTTACACACATATACAAGATTAGTTATAATCTATGGAATTACCAACAAATAAAAGCTGCAAATAATATTTTAAACTACAGGCATTTTGTTATGGATGAGCAATTCCCGCTTTACTAGCCTTGCATATATTTATATACACACAAATCTTCTAACTGAATATGCAACATGATTTAAAAGTCTTTGTTCGTTGTTATACATGCTAGGAAACTTTTAGGGACTAGATTTTTACCGTTTTCGTAAGTAGTTTCTCCAAATTCCTGTTCGTCTTCGTCATCATCTAGCTCCTCCTCGTCGTTTTCATCATCATCATCGTCGTCATCGTCATCATCATCCTCATCATCTTCATCCTCCTCTTCCTCATCTTCTTCTTCGTCGTCATCATCATCATCATCGTCATCATCATCATCTTCTTCTTCGTCATCCTCCGCATCAACATCATTATTGACAGCCTCATCATCTGGATCATTGTCATCATTCTCATCTTCTTCTACGTCCTCTTCAGATTCCCCAGAGTCAGTGCTCATTAATTCTTCCTGAGTAAATAAATCACAATTATTATAATAGTCTACAGATATCTCGTTAAACGATCCTAACCCTTACCGTAGCATCGGGTTCGTTCTCGTAGGTCTCATGGATCGGGTCATCGATTTCCATTGTTCCCTCAACTTCTGGTCCACTATCCAATAGTTGTTCCATTATTTCATCCAAAACGTGATCCCTGGTATTTGATGACATGGCATTTCCTTCAAGACTCGAGGCGACAGCAGAAATATCATGATCAGTATTTTCTGTGTCCTCCGCTGTTTCTTCGCCCTGTCGCCAATAAATTATATTATAGCGAGTTATTAAATTATAAAGTTATGCATATTTACCTGCGCGTTGGTAGCATCTGTAGAGGTGGTTCCACTAGCAACTGTTTCTATATTAATAGTTCGTCTTCGCTTCTTGGCATTATTTCCAGCAACGTTTCCAGTTACTGGCTGGTTGACTATTTTTGACAAACATTCCATCGGTTTCAAAGCAGAGTTAATAGTCACAGGAAAACTAGGACTGGACATGTCCAAGCAATGGGGTACTCGAGCCAAATCATTAAATATACCTTTCCTTAACATCAATCTCGCGATATTGTTCACGTTAGCATTGAATGTTTGAGATTTATAGAAGCGAACTTGCTGTACCGGTGGGCATTGTTCTATCATGCCAACAATGATGCCAGTAATATGTTGTATTCTGACATGTTTTTCCGTCGACTCAGGCATTAGCAATGCTCGGATGAGGGCTGCTTTCACTTCAGTGACAAGCGATGCTTGCGCATCGGGAGCATGGTTACAGGAAGCAATTCCTGCGATTAACGATCGGCACATCATGGAACAATCTCTATCAGAAACTAGCTCATCCATTGGCAGAATTTTATCGAAGAGGAATGCCAAGCAAGTACAGTCCTCTTGGAGCTCATCCAACAAATTATGATCATATGAATAGTCGGTGATCAATTTAGCGACTCCTGCATATGATACTACTGCATCAGCCAGAATTTTCAAAATATTTTGCTTTGCCAAAATAGGTCGTTGATTAAAATCACATTCTAATTTGTTTTCGATGACAATCTCACTTGTTGTCCTAGTAAGTTTCGACCTAGGATCATCCTGACTATCGAGGTTCAGTATGTCATTGGCAGATGAAGTATTGCTTAATAAATCGCTGGCTCTTTGGTACATAGTAGCACATGTATTAGTGGTTTGGGTTCTACTTGAATTTTCGAACTCTTGATCTACAATCAAAGTTGCTTCGATCGGCCTAACGAGCGCATTTAGGAGAGTAAATACAACTTTCATTGATTCGACGTCATTCATAACTGGAGCTGTCGTCCTGGTTGTTGGTTCTGTTCCAAGAGGCAGTCTTGCATCCACATCCTCATCGAGAGGATTTCTACGATAAACATTATCAATCCTCAGAGTTCTTTTCGCCACTTCAAAGAAAATATCAGAATTTCTTGTTATCGCACTACCAATACTACGTAGCAGGAACATCATCTCCTTATATGAAGGAGGTAGGGAATTTAAAGTCCGACCACGAATTACTTTTTCAATGGCATAGGCAAGAATGTCGTGCGATTCCAAGGTGTGCCGTATCAATAAGGTGGCCAATGTTCTGAATCCATTGAACGCGAATTTCTCTTTTACTTGCAATAAACATGCAATTCCACCTTCTTTAACAAATATCTTAGACACCTTAAAATCCTGTGTAAGTCTTAAGCAAACCCTCATCAGAGCGTGCAATGTATCTTTATCGATGTCGGATTGCATGAGTGTTACGCAACTCCTAACAATATCCTCGGCCTGCTCTTTGCTGAATCCAGGCATAAACAAACAGCGGGCATTTTCTTTTTCGCTTAAAGCAACCTGCTCGATTTCCATTTCATCGTAGTTCTCGTTTCCTTTTAATTCAGTTAACTTGTACAAATTAACGGGGGTCATGCTGATAGGTCGGTTATTGTTACTCTCTTCATTGATCTGCTGCATGCTAGTGAAACTAATGGTATAACGTCGTCTGCCACATGTGATTCGCACTGTTTGTTCACCATTCCAATAAGCATCGTTGATGAGCTTATTGTTGGCATCAGAGTACTTTGTCCATTTTCCGGAAACAACGTCGAACCATTTCCAAATGCGCTTTGTCACCAAATGCATGTTTCTTTTTCGCTGTGTGCTTACGGACACTTTGCCTAACGAATCCATCAGTAGAAGAATCGGAGTTAACCACTTTGGTACCACCGCCTTCTTGTTAGCTGTCAATGCTTCTTCGGCTAAATACAACAACTTGATGAAATGCGGCACCAATTCGCAACGGTAGATTGCCAGACCACACGGTCCGCGCATATCGAAGTAAGCTGGCACTTCGAAGAACAGAGTATAGAGATGAGTGTAGAGTCCTAAGCGTTGAGACAACTTCGATTCACCTTTGACGTCCATCTTTATAGCTGAAGCATCTTGCAATATTTTAGTAGAAAGATCGTAGATTTCCAGTAGTAATTTATCTAATAGGAAGTCCCGAAATTGGGGTCCAATTCTCTTTTCGTTGCGCTTTATCACCATGACTAACAGATCGCACACCTTAAACACGGACTCGGGTACGACTTCAATTAATTCCAAGGCTATATCCAGAGCGCCGTGCGTAAAGCCATCGATCAGCTTCTCGGAGATCGGTTGAGGTTCGTCTGGTACCTCTTTTTTCTTAGGTGTAGACGAGCCAGCCTCTCCGAGACTCATTGCGATGGCCTGGGAAACTTGATCGTCTTCGGTCATCTCGAACTCATTCGACGGAGTAGATCTGGCTGCTGGATTCGACAGGAGATACTCTGTGGCCTGTTCCAAGTTGATCGTACGAATCAAAGCTTCCACAGCCGGATCCCTGGAGAAGCCCATCTCCAATAAAGCATTCAGGCTGTCTGAACTAACGTCGTTTTCGAACCGAGGGGCCGGTGGTTCCGCCGCGATTGCTGTTTGTACAGTAGTAGGAGCGGCTGGGGCGGTAGCTTCAGTTTTAGTTGGTTCGTCAGACTTATTTAGGCGATCACGAATGATTTTCTCGCCCCTAAGTATATGTCTCAGAATAGTCAGGATGGACTCGCTCATGCGAACGCCATAGTTGGCTAATGGCTTTTTTCCCCACAATAGCATCACAGCAGTAAAGGCATCAGAGTGAATTTGCATCAAATATTTCAGTGGATCAAACGATGATCTACCAGCATTTGCTCCACCTCTAGATGAGATGACGTGAGGAGAGTCCAAAATTGCTTTTGGATTCACCATTTTCTCTAGAAGCGTTAGCCATGCATCCAGAAACTCTCCAGTTCCTTCTGGTAAACTTTTATTTTCGATTGCAGTGTGGATATCGATAGTTCCATCAGCACTGAGTGCCCACTCGAATGCCCGGAAGAACGTGGCCAGACCACCAAGATTGTAAAAGTTCTGGAGCATAAGATGATATGGATATCTTTTCTCATCGAAAAGCATTGGACTCGTAAAACCGACACTGCATATCAAGAATGTAAGCCTGAACTTCGGCACAGGACTTGGAGGCAATTTTTGATAATTTAATCCATTGGCCAATAAAAGGTTTAATGCAGTTGCTACGGATCTTGCACTCGGCAAAGTTGGTGGAGAAACAACGTTTTGACCCCGTCTCTGTCTGATGGGTGATCCAACACACAGCTTAACCAACAAACCGAATAATTCGGCTAGAGCTCGTCCAAGTCTTGAAGATGCTCCCAATAACGGTTTAATGTACTTTAATTGTTGACTCGTTGGTTTGTTATTCGTAGCTGCTTCAGAATCGACGTCCATCGATGATGTTGACGGATTGGTTGTGAGGGCCTCCATTGCTGATGCTACATTCCCTGTATCACCTCCGGTTTCCTATATTTGGTCGTATTTTTTAATTTTAATAAGATTTTATTAATACTATGTATTTGTTTAATTAATTCAAAAATAAAATTTGTAATTTTCTGATCAATTAATAAAAATTGAATAAAAAAACAAATAAATATATTGAAAGAAATAGATAATTGAAAAATCATAATATCGTGAATTAAATTGAAAATCAAATATTCGATGGATGCATGGAAAAAAAAGTTGTGACTCACCCAGAAATCTTCGCACAATTTAATTCGTTTAGACTTAGGGGCAAGTTCTGAGTGGGATGAGGAACAGGATCGGGAACTGTATAGCTTTTCTTTTAGTGCCCGAGTTCGCGAGCGCGTCATACGCTGACATACTTGTTCACTCTAGTTAATATAGTAAATGATTAAATAATAAAATGAAAGACCAAACTAATGAACACACTGTGATTTCCAAAGATTAAGTTCCCACCGGGAGAATAAATGAATATATATAGCATATAATAATCAAACATGTGGATGGTCTGCTTAATAATGCACGGGAACAAATTCATTAAAAAGAACAGTAGGCGTTGTTCAAAGCAATCATTTGCAAATGTTACCTTAGGTTCGGTGGTGAGCGGAACGTTAAGCTTCTCCATGTCCTCTTTTCCAAAATCACAATCGGATGGTATCACATCGTCGCTGCACAATGCTAACAGCAAGGTACTTTCCCAAACCAGGGATGTGTACAGCTCAGCTAAACCTTTCAGCACTGTTAGACCATCCTCGGATCCCCAATGTTGTAACGACAGTGTACGAATTTCGTTTTGGCCTGTTCTGCATACATGAACAAACATCAGTACGTACCCATGGGCAGCGCCCATGGCGTGTAAAAGTGGAGTGGATGACGCGGTATTGAAAGCAGACTCTAGATGAGGAGCATTGGCGAGCTCATGGAGCAATTTCGATCCGCCTGGCACATCCATATGTGAATACAGAGGTTCCAACTTTTGAAGGACTTGATTCAACTGGGCAAGGCCATGTTCTAAAACCTTAGGTTCGTGGGCCAAATTCAGGATGCTTTTACATACAGATGCTACTGCCTGCGCGGAATTTGTAACAGGACAATCTACAGGCAGATTCGGTAATCCCAGTATTCTGAGAAGTGGCGCTAAACCGCCTTGGTTAACGAATTCTCTACAATGGTCATCCGTGGAGTTATTACTCAATATAGCGTCGATGAACTTAGTAACGTTAAGTATGTATTCAGTTAGAGCAATTGGCTGCTTTTCGCTGGAGTTTGTCTGTTCTTGAGTATCTGCTTGGGCGTTCTGCGAGGACGTCGAAGCTTCTTCTTCATCGTCATCTTCCTCATCAGACGAATTTCCTACATTCAAAATAACATTAATTATAATTTAATAATAGTATATTACTTTACACTCACCATCCGCATTATTAGCCGATCGTGGGCTTATAATAGGCGATACTTCAGATTTACTATGTGGTCGCCAGCAGACATATTTAGGGTCGGTTCCTAATTGGCAAAGTTCATTTAACAATTTAATTATAGCTGAGGTGGCATTCACTTTCAAACTGGGTTGATGGCGCATCAACTCGTCCATGGCGTTTCCCAAATTTGAAGCTAAACGAAAACAAACAGCGTATTAATAAAATTTTCTTCTCAAGAGACAATAACTAATGCACATACCAGCATCACCTAGTGGATCAGAGCTCCTCCTTTTTCTCATAGCTGACAAATACGCTGGTGACAGCAATACTTTAAATAACCGTTCAAATGGTTTGCATTTTACAAATGAAGCAAGACCTCTGGCATTTAAGCAAAGCGCACTAAACACGTTTGGTAGAGAAGCCAAAACCTCTCTTGTAGCAGGAACATCTTTCACGAGTAGAGCTTGCAGTACAACATCGGTGAGACCGTTATCCTGAATAGTCGATAATAGACTAGGCTCTTGGAACACATATACGGTGACCACATCTGTAGCCAGCAAGAACAGCGAAGGTCCGTAGTATTCGGCATTCGATATAATGTGCTTCAATGAATTTGGAAGACTACCTTCCATTAGATGTCGTATATGTTCGGAAAACGTGGAATCCTGTAACGCCTTTTTAAGGAAGTTTAGCATAGATTTCAATAATGCAGTCCTCTGAGGAAGGCACGTTTTTCCGACATTGTCTGGATTGATTTGCGTGAAAGAAGTTGGCGGCTCTTCCTCCGATGTACAACTATCTGATGTGCTTGCTTTGTCAACATCTTCTGAGCAAGTAGCTTTGAATTCGTAAGTATGCTCATGACGGCATAAATTCACCTCAACCTAAACAAGAAATGCATCAATCACAAATACCAATAAATAAAGATGTTCGAAAACTTACATCAAGTCGCTCAATAAAACTTTGTAGTCCTCCATGTGTGTAGAAAGCCTGCATGTCAACGTTTGTGATAAGATCAATCACTCTAACCGCCCTAGTGACAAACTGTAAGCAAACAATAGTTAATATACGCTGCTTTTGGAGTCCAGCCTGGTTTGGTCCTACAGTAATATGCTCCAGCTCAATACCATGCCAATTTATAACTTGTAACAAAGATTCCATCATGCCACAGGAAACTAGTGCATCGCCGCCTGATTCGTAACTCGCCAGATGGTAAAGAAAGCTAAACAAAGCTGTTGCTAAAGGTAGCGGAAATCGGAGCTTGCTGTTCTCAACTGTTGTGGACATTGCGATGTCTGAAACCATATCCAATAGTATGGATGGATCAGAACACTCTGAATAATCACCTTCAACAGATTTCAAATCGGACAGTTTCTTGCACTTGGGTAAGCTTTGTTCATTCGGATTTGTCAAGGACGCAATACAGTTGCGAACCAAAACCGGAAGGAAACCGTGGTACTGGCTTGCTCCTGTTACATCTATAATATTGTTTAGTCTTGAGCCGGGTTTCCTGCAAACGAAAAAAACAATGAAGTATTATAAACAAATTCAAATTGGCAAGTGCTTTGCAAGTACGTACTTTGGGAAATGTGGATTGCGATCCAGATGAATGATAGATGTTAAAGTGCGTAATGCAGCTGAACGAATTTCCACAAGAAATGGTAATTTCAGTTCGATCAACTCTACCAGTTCTTCCAATAGCCCATTGTAGAGTAGTGTATGGGCAGAGTCTTGCAAAGCATTGGCGTATACCAACACTGATAAAGCTTGCAGACGTGCCTGCACGCAGAACAGTCGATTTCTGTAGTGCGAGAAATGGTATGCCAATCTCACATGTGTAAACAATAACATCTACAAATAGTAAATAAACATTGGTAACAAAAAATAAACAATCAGAAAATGAGGAAAATATATAAATAAAATTGAAAATAAAAACAAAAATACCTCCTTTTCTGGGGGTACATTGTAAATGGCAAGAAGCCCTTTCATGATTTCTCCTGGGGTCTTTCTCAGTTGATCCACATGTTCCACGTGTATGTAGGTCATGTTCTGTTTGGACTTATCCGTTTTTGTATCTTTTCCATCTTTGGAGCACTCTTTGTCGCGATCAGAGCTATTATCGTTGTGGAATTCAAAATGAAGCGTGGTAGCGGATGGCGGCATCGTCTTGTGACTGTTGCAGCAATCTGCTAGACCAAACCCATTTTCCTTTCCACCCCAACTCTAGAAAAATAAACACCAGTCGTACGTTAGAAAATTGTTGGTCCTTCTAAAATGCGGTCAATTATTACCTCTGCTAAATTGTGTAGTCTCGAAACAAGTGAGGATCGTAAATCGCATTGCATCCTTGTGATGAAGTTACTTCTCTTGGAAAACATGTATAACAAATTAAGCACTCCCAGGACAACGGACATGTCACTGGCGGCCAATAGAGCCAATAGCTTATCCATCGACTTGTAGGTATGTCGAGAAAAAGAGTGCTCGATAAGCAAGGTTGTGAAATGGAGTATCCATAGGAGCAGCTTACGGTTCTGTCATTTCGGCAAGAATAAATACATTATAAAACTTGCATAGTTTTGTAAGTAATAATTAATGAAACTTAATTGCCGTCAATGTTTACTCAAAATTTCAATGCAAAAAAAATAAAAGTGATTTTAAAATTTCCTGTAATTTATCATTCCATAATGAAAGAACTTTAGCAATAAAAGATAAAAAGCATAGCAATCTTTTACTACTCCTTCATAAATATTTCCCCTCGTTGCCAATTATTAACTGTAAAACAATACAATTCATGTCTTTTATTCGAGACGTTTTATTTCAATTCAATATTTCCGTGGTTATGATTTTAAATGTTTCATGATACAGGAGTTTAATTACAAAGCACAGCAAAAACAAAGCAACACCCTTTACCCATTAGTTAATAAGCATTGAACAGCAACATAATTATTACAAGAATCAGGAGGAGTCTGGACCATATTAATAAATTGTAGGAAATTACATCCATAAATCTTGTGCAAAATGTGGACCATCTCAATGGTAATCAGTACAAGTAACAAAACTTTTTTTTTATAAAATGTTTCTCTAAAGATATTTGAAACCTACTCACATTCATCTTGTCCTGGTCTTTGATAATCTGAAAGAGGAATGTAGGGTAAAAACATGAACATGATGACAACTGCATAGTTAACAGCATAAGCAGGGCAATGGATAATGTTGACAATCATGAAATTGATTATAAATAATAGTCCAGACACTCCCATTAGGATATAACATTTGTTATATAAAATCATCAATATTGTAGGATGTAAAATTGTTTAGTAGATTTGTTATTATAAATATAGATATAAAAATCCTTAATGATTATTCAAAATAAATGTTAGTTTAATATGAAATAACAAATTTTAAAATGATGCATAAGCTGAATCTACATCTAGATTTAGAAAAAAATAGAATTTTATATGTCTGGACAATTTAAATAAAAGCAATATTAACAAATTTTATGCAACATAGATCATCCTTCATTGGAGTGTAGGTTATCTGAATACCACAATTACAATAGTATTTGAATTTACTACAAGGAATTTGAAGCTATAACATTGAAGATAATTGGGCAGTTATTTTGTTCAATCTAACTGCATTTGCAGTTTAGTAAATATATAGTGCCAAGTCATTAACTTAGCTATCCTGTATGGATGAGGAATTTCAAATGATAGATTAGGATTCCTAAATGATTTATATCTTTGAATAAAAAAAACATTGATAATTAGTATTCAACCAACTGATGACCTGAAGAGGATTTGGCTCTGCGCCATTAATCATTGATTTTCCTGTCATATATCTACAGCAGAGGGATGTTGTGAAAACTCATGAAAGATACATTCCATGCGCAAGGACGCATAACGGGATTGCTTTCGATGTAATTCTATTCCAACCGTACATCGTATTTTCGGGTTTCCAAAACTACATGAAGCATAATTTATGTAATACAAAACGCAAAACAGTGTACCGTCACCATCTTGAAATGATTAGCCATGTAGCGCCAATGTTGGTGGACATCCGAACTTTACATGGAACGTTAATAAAATGTTCTTTTTATTTTCTATTGAAATAATGAAAAACAAAATGAAAAAAAAAACAGCTGTAGATATTTGTTATATGTGCAATATGCAATATTAAGAAATAATCCATAGAACACATGCAACTATTTCTATCTTCTATTGATATTATAATGACGTAAATAGTAATAACATTGATTATTTATATATTTATGTTCACTGAATCCATGATCTTATTTTTGTATATATATTTAGTTATTACTCAACAAAGTATGTAAATAGATGGGATTTCTAATTTCGTTAGAAATAAGTGTATCTCTATTATTATATTTTATACTTTTGTTTGAAATCTCAAAAATGGTGTAACTAACCTATTGGAAGCAAATATGTTTTCATACAAAGTACAAAAGTGATAATATAATCTTATAGGATTAACAAATTCATAATATTATTAGATATTAAGCTAGAATAACAATACTGATTCATCTAAGAATCATTTGCATTTGAGACAAGTGAAATATGTAATTACATATAACCTAAAAATGGGATTAGTTCTATATTTTAAAAATCAATATAATAGACAAAATGAGTTTATGTATATTACTTAACTTAACATATGTTGCTTGAATCAGATATTATATGCGATTAGCATCCTCCACCTAATTTAGCTTAGTTTCTTATACATAAGATAACTGAAGATAAAATGACAGACTTTTAAAAGAATAATCCCAGGTAGAATAAGTTTAAACTGCTGCATTTAGGTTTATAAAAAATATTAATATCTTCCCAATAAAAATGCAAAACAATAGTTAAAGCTGCAAATTCCAATACCTTCAAACAATAGTAATTGTTGCAATTTACATATATATTAATTATAAAGCAATTGGTATTATGTGGTTTGGGCACAAAAATGAGATGTTAGCAAATATATGAAGGTTAATAGATAACATAATAGGAAAATTAGAACTCATGAACATATAGTGATTTGAGATGAACATTGTGGCAATATATTTGAAGTCATGCAAGAGGTGGGTTTGTGAGTAAATGATAAAGGTAGAAACTCACCGAGCCATCAAATTTGTCACATTTTAGTGACCAGCCATTGCCGGGCTCGTTCTCGGCGGCTTCGTCTAGTACATTGTCAAAGATGGTGAGGACCTCCTTCCAGTGCCCAAGCTCGCACTTTCCGAAGGTCCATGTACTGATCTTGGAGAGCTCCTCCAGGAGCTGAATGCGATTGCATTTTTTGAGGCGGTCTATGAGAACTTTGCACTCGGCCGGCGGCTCGGAAGTGCTCTTCCTGAGGCGGCTATCTATCTTCATTGTTGTACTGTTGTCGTCGTCTATCGACCCCTCATTATTGGCGTCCTCCCTCTGGTCTTCAGCTACGGTTACACGGCACTAAGTATACAGCTCACATCAGAGTACTACGTCTCACAACAAAAGCAGGGGATTGACAACCTAAAGTCCAATATAGCATAAGTACAGTGTGCGGGGGGACCCTACTTACTTGGATTGCTGTATATGCTCTCGCTCGCCATGATTCTTCATCATGTCATTGGAGGGGAAATATAATGAATTTTTTGTTTTATTTTAAAGCATAAGTCTCTGAAACAAATGCCATTCTATCAAACTCGTAACTACTATTTGCAATATGTAAATTAGAAGATAAAAAATAAAAGGAAAATAAAATGTATACCCGTACAAGTGGATAACTAAAATTATATTCCGTTCTGATGAGGTGCCATAATATGTGTCAATGTACAGGTTGATACATTTAATATTAGGCCAGATTGTGACTAGGTGATAATTGCAGAATCAAATAGTTGGTGTCGAGTGTTTAATTTGAGAAAACTGATTGATGGTAAAAGTGTTTACAAACAATAAAAGGTACTATGTGTTACAATAAATTTTATTGGTGACTGATGTAGTGGATAGCAGCATATACATATTGGCAATTGATCAAGTGTTTGTGGAGGGCTGTAGACGTATTGATTTAGGGTCGATTGTAAAACAAAAACAAAGATGAAACCGAGGGCGGCTTCCTTCTTTACCTGGACAAACGAACAGAATGATAGCTGTTGGGTTTTATTTGGTATAAATCGCGTATAAAACTGAGGAACTGCTTAGTCACAGGCCGGAGTAGCGACTGAAATGGCAGAGGAACCGTTGAGTTGACCGTTGGTAACGTCTCGCGAACGAATAACAAGTGATCGACACGAACGAAAATACGTTGAAGAAAAAAAAAATAGGTATAAGAAAAGGACAAAAAACAGACGCAGACAAAAGGAGGAAAGGAAACGGAAAAACGTCCGTCTCCCACCCGTCGATGCACCTCTCCTCTTCTACACTCGTTCGTCCTCCGAAAAGGTACGCCGCGCGGCCATATTGGTTTTGTGGGACCAAACACAATCTCACCCCAACACCTTTCAGACCATAAATTCCGTACAGAGAACAGAATATATATAAAGAAAAACAACGTAAAACAACAACAACAATCCGCAGATAAGAAATGATCGTTGCGTACCTGTACGGTAGTCTCAGAACGCGTAGATCCGCAGTAAATCCTTCGATGGTTTGCCGTCTTTCACGTATTCACTGGTATGAGCACTCGGGGAACGGTGAGAAATGGCTGCGGCAGGCGCAGTCGGTTCGCAACAGTCCGAAATCACGAACAATATTGCGAGGGAGAAGTTCGCGGCGTTGTGCGTCGTCTCACTCGCACCGCTGATGACGCTGCCAACCTAGCGGATCTCAAATCACCAATTATTTGTGTTATTTGTACAAAAAGTAATGACCGTGGGATGCATTCGTATTGATTTTCCCTCTTCCTCCCCCCTGCCGATTTATCCCCTGGCTGCACTACGTTATGCAAATTTATTGCGCAACTCTGGAGCACGCCCACGCCCAATATTCCGATAATCAAGTGCGGACGCATCCACCCCCGGGCCTCCCCAGTCCTGTGTTGCTATTTTTAGAGCGGCTGTGGAACACTCCATCGATCGCCCTCCGCCGCCCATCCCCGTCCCGGGGTTTCCCCCTCGATTTTCCCGGACGGGGACCTGCAGCTTGAATTTCCTCAAACCGTCCCCGACCTCCCATCAGACTGTTCTCCAAGTCGCCAACCACCTCCACAGCTGACCAACCCATCGCTCATCGCCTTTTATGCTCAATCCAACTGAAATTTTCCACCTCCCTGAATTTTCAGCAATCGATAGCTGCACGCAGATTTCCTCCAATTTCCAATTGCATATCAAACTCAAATTGAATTTTCTTACATCTCGCGCAGTTTTATATATAAGCAAGAATAGAACAATTATTAAACATCTACTGTATGGATTATCAAATCAAATGATTATATACTTAGATTTAAGAATCGTTAAACTATTTCTTTATTATCTGCTAATTCATCAAGCAAATAAACATATTAATTGAATTTTTCACATCTTGAATGGACATTAGATCAAAGAGAAGTGTATTATTAAATAATCATGAAACTGTTTTTATAGTCAATAAAACTATCAATAGATTACACATATCTTACTTAAAAAAGTGTTATTATCATCAGTTCCAAGAAAGGCGAAGCTTCTTCTGTATCAATTATAATCCAGTCTTAAAAGATACATTATTTGTTCTTTTCTGTATTTCGAACGGGCTTTAACATTAGTTCTAAGAGATGAATATATAATTATGTATTCATGAAAGACTTGTCATAATAGATTTTCCATGAAATCCAACAAATTTGATATTTTACGATTCTAGGAGGAACTGTATTTATGGAAATGATTGATTTGTCAATAATACAATCAGCATTATTTAAATTTCATCACATCTTAAAGAGGTTCATTTGACCAAAGTTTGGGTAATCTATATCTGTCAATGAATCCATTAATATAAAGTATTTGTTTTTTAATTTGCAAAAATACGAGTATTCATTGATTTATATAATTTAGATTTATAATCCTAAAATAGGATTTTTTATAAAACAATTAGACAACAGTAGATTCTCGTGAACATTAAGATAGTAAATATTATTGGATCCAAAATAGGTGTTCATAATTTTGTATTCAGTAATGATTTGTCTATATGAATTATTTATTTGAATTTCCACGCATCTTGCAATTGCACAAGCAACATTGTATAATTTGTTATTCATGAATGATCCGTCATTATGGATTGTAGACCTTTTAAGTATAATATATCAATAAAGCTAACAATTGAGCATGCAACTTAATATAATATTTTCTCAAATCTTAAAGAGCGTAATTTTATCTGTTTTCCTAGATGATACTTCTATTTATCTTTTTACTATTTTCACTTAATAAAGTACTCAATTCATTGAATAGTGTAGGAATACAAACTGCATATTCATAGATTATTAATAAATAAAATCTTCTTAAATTTACATGAAAATATACAAATCTGAAGTAACTTGTTGCATATTTGTATCTACATAATTATGTTGTTTATCTTATAAATATTATGTTTGAATAAGTTATTAGTAAATAAGCAAATATTCGTCTGGACCCATTCTCTCATTCCACAACAAACCGAAACAATCGCCTTATATAACGAATATAAATGAATATTCACTTCCTGCTTTTCAGTAATCAACAACATACGAAGATATTTTTAAATTTCCCATAAAACTAGGCAGTATTTAAATTTCCTTGCATCTAACATGACTGTACATAGGTTTAAGTAAGACTTAAAGGCAATACATAATTTATTTCTACACATATTCTCATCAATTTATAATTTGATCCTTGATTTTTATGTCTTAATCGTATCATTAACTTATTAAATCATAATTGTAAGTTTCTTGTGGATATATAAGTACGAATTCTTTGTAAACAAGTTACTAACAAATTTTCCTGATAATATAAGAAGTGTTTAACATATGAAGAACAAAATGTTATTTTATGAATGTAACGTATTTTCCTGAATTTTCCATTTCCCTCGGTTTTATCAGCGATTAACTAATGTTGGCAAAATTGCCAAATTATGAATTTATCTGTATGTAGTTTAATTAATAGTTGGATCATCATATTCTGTTGTATCTAATAATTAATTTTAATTGTATTGTTTATGTTTTTATAGAATTATCCTAAATTTTTAGGGATTTTTGCGGACAAATCTAATGTTGGGTACAATGCATTTTAGTTAAATTGTGGTCATCAGGTGGTGCTGTTAAACGCATCATAAAAGCAAACATCGCAGGTCGCTGTAAACACAATCTAAGAGTTTGTAGAAAACACAGAAAAACAGAGACTTGTGATGAGGCTAAACATAAATAAATGTTAATTTCGTGAAGCGCCAACCTTCCTTATCGTTTTCGAACTGCATTTAATAGTGAAAATCTGCTTGTGTAGTGCAAAAATCGTTCAAAATGAGTGCCCAATACGCCAGGGACATGATGAAGGTCTCTGTGGCGAAAATGTTGCAAACTATAGGATGGAACAGTATCCAAACTACCCCACTGGAGATCCTCACTGATATACTTACATTATATGTGAGCCAAATAGCGAAAACCACTCACGACTACGCAAATGAATGTATGTAACTAACAGAAACTTTAAAATATTTGTCCATTTTACTGTAACTTATATGGGGGGTCTTGCTTGTTGCAGTTGGTTGTGTCGATCCAAACTTAGACCATTTAGGTTTGGCATTCAGAGATTGCCATGTAAATTTAAATGAACTAGAGGAGTATGCAACTTATGTTAATTTTGGACCACCACCGTCCAGTGTACCTAAGTTTCCGATACCAAAGGAAGATAACCTGAACTTCTTGAAGCCTGGCAGCAAGGAGGTTGTGACCAGACCGGTGCACATACATGAACACTTGCCACCAATGTTTAAAATAAACGAAGGTAATTATTGTGAAGTGGTTATAAAAACAAACAAAGCTTGTTTACTGAGTAAATGAAACATTTATTTTTTATAATTTTTTTCTTTTTGATACATGAATTTATTGTAGTTTAATTTACAAATAAACTGATTAACAAATTATACATAACTGATTATATTTGTCATCTTTCTGCAGTTGCTGAAAATGAACCAGAAAATGTTCCTAAGAATGAGGAAGATGAGGCTATTAATGTTGAATCCACAATACCTACATTTAAGCGACCAGCAGAAGTTTCTCCAAGTGAACCATTTAAACGACCAAGGTATTTTAAATTTATTTTACAATGCATGGGCTATAATAACATCTTTCAGCATCGTCTTAACATTCATATAATGAGACTAAAATATAAAGAAATCTTATGCTTTTAATTACAAATATATACAAAAATGACCTTGATAAGCTGGTCATATGTTTACTTAATTATATTTATGTCTCATTATATATTTAGTTATTAAAATTTACATGAATATAATAAATTATCATAGATCACAGATTACAGTATAGTAATTGTATTTCGTTTACAATTGGATAATAATACTTGTATGGTTTACTATTTATTGATATGATAGACGTAAAGAACAAATGCTTTCATTTAAACAAGCAATATTTTGTGACCTGGCGCTATGAAAGCTTTTGTCAGCGTTATTATTTGTGTTTTTATTTTGTTTTTGATGCGAGACTTGTTGGAATGCGTGTGGTCAATTTGCATGTGACCTTGAATCTCGCATAGTAATTGGTTCACTGCCACGAACGCACGCTGCTTCTCTGCTTGATTTATTTCTTCTCCCTCGCATTTTGCATCTTCAATGAGTAAATAATATCTCATTCAGAGATTTAATACACTTCAATTGGTTTGAATTATCTAACAATTTTTATTGATCCTGAATTCTTTCAAGACAAGTTTAAAACTCAGTAAATAATAAAATATGCACTTAATATTTTCTAAATATTTAAACTAGAGACACGTTCAAATTTTATTTTTAATATAACAAAATAATAAATGAAAAAAAAAAACTTAAATTATCAATTTTTATTCTACAAATCTTAAAGAAATATTGAAAGCAGAATAAAAACATCACAAGAAAATAAATAATATAGTGGCTGTTTTTTCGCATAGTCACATTATGAATTTGAGGTGGAAATTCGAATAGCTGAAAATGCTTGTTCCCAAATTATATGCTTCAAATGAGATTATTATGAAAATAGCTAATCATACTTTTGTAAATTTTCTCATAAAATTCCTTTTTTTAATGTTACGTTGTAATTCCCAAACTTTTATCTGTGGTTGATTTCGATAAATATATGTAATTAAGAGACACTGAAAAGTTATTATTATTGTAAACATGTCAGTTATATAATAACCAGACAATAATCATGTATTTGATCATATGCATTTATAGGCTTCTAGTGGAAGAGGAAGGTAGGCCTACTAGAGAAATCAGCAGTGTTATGATGACAACATCCGGTTATATTTCACCTGCTAGGGAAGGTAAACTTCCTGAGGCGAGGACGCCTGTAACCGCTCTGGAGTTGGCGCCACTATTGCCGACGCCATCTTCGAGTTCTTCAAATGGGCAGTCCTCGAAACCGAATAAGGTTGTGAAGAAACAGGAGAAGAAAAAGGAGAAAATAGGCAAGGAGCTCTTCAAGCCATCCGCTGACGAGAAGATCACGAAGAAGGTCACGACTATGAAAGATGTGGTGAAGTTAAAACAGATGAAAGCCGTCAATGCAGCGAACAACCCTTTGACGGCGAATCCAAGCACTTCTGCCAATTTTGTAGTGAACAACGAGGTGAAGGTGCCGCCCCCGACGCCTACACCCCCTCGCGAGACCAAACCAATCCAGCCGAAGGTAAACAACAAAACGCTGGCAGCAGCTAGATTGAAAACGGAGAAATTCAATACTACAATTACTCCAATTCCAATCAAGCCACCAGTGGAAATCATCGATAAACTCTTCACGGAACCGGATAAGAAGAAAGTGAATATCCTGAAGAAAATTTCGAACGTAAAAAATGAAAGCAAAGCTGAAAGTAAGTCCAAACCAAAGGAAGCCATTGAGCCATATGTATCTCGGGAGAGTTCACCGATTTTAATAATTGACGAACCTGCTGATGCTAGTAATAAAGTACATATTTCTAATGACATTACCATAGAATTGGTAGATACGCCTGAAAAACAAACGGAGAAACCTGAGAAATCCTTTTTCGATGACGAATCGCCGCCCGGCACGCCATCCACTCCAAAAACCCCGGAGATGATTGCTAGCCCACCTGTCACAAAAGAAAAACGGAAGAGGAAGGATAAAACTAAAATTAAAAAAGTAAGCTGTGTTGCATGGAAAATGTTTTTCGTAATTGTGTTTCTCTTTAGGTACAGAAAATGAGTCCGGCGGTTGTCGCACCGGAGCCGCCCAGTCTATTCCTAGATAACGAACGACCAAAGACACCTGAGCCTGCTCCGGTTATACCACCGCCGTTCCGGCCGGACAGCATGCTCGACAACATGCGTTATCCTCTCGGATTATTCTCCACATTAAGCAAAGGTCCTGGATTGATCCCTTCGCCTATGTACAACATGAATCCGTTCAGTTTGCCCCCGTTCCTTAGAAATCCATTACCGAAGCAAGAGGAGCCCAGAGCAAAGTCGCCGCCAGCAACTGTTACAAAACGCGACCCATCACCGCCATCGCCTCCACCAGTTGTTAGCTCAACAACGTCATTGGCAGTTAAGGAATGCACACAGATTTCACCAAAATCGGAGAAGAAGAAAGACAAGGAGCATAAGAAAGATAAGAAAGATAAAATAAAAAAGAAAAATAAGAAAGATAAAATGAAAAGTAAGGCTGAGAAAAAGAAGTTGAAAGAAGAGAAGAAGGACAAGGAGAAAACTAAGAAAGAGAAAAAGGAGAAACGAAAAGAAAAGGAGAAAGAGAAGGAAAAAGAGAAAGAAAAGGAAAAGGAAAGCAGAGAAAATCCAGATGTTGGAATACCGAAGCTCACACTGAAGTTGGGAACACCATCTCCAAGACCGGAAACACCAGACACGAAAAAATTGTATGATTGCATTGTTGACAGAATAGAAATTTGAAATTACTATTAACTGATTATTTATAGGAACATTAAACCAGTTGTTAAGAAGGAAGTCGAAGAGGTTAAGCCTAAGGAAGCTGAGGTGAAGCGGGAACTTTCACCGGAGCTTGCCAAAATATCAGCCTTATTTACAGGCCAGCCCAAACAGAAATCAGCAACTGCATCGGCTTCAAGTACAAGTAAGTTTCTCAATTCATTATTGGTTGTTCTGAACGGTGAATGCAATATTAGTATATTATTATTATTAGATGTAGCTTGAATGACCTGCATTCAACATTTTACCTATACACATGTATTATTTGATGGAATCTATGTAGTTTTTATAACAAAATCAGTATTAGTATATATATAAATTTGTGATTACATACATAGGTAGGTGTGTACAGGTGAAAGCGGAATGTAAGAAGTAGCTTTTGTTTTATTTCGTTTTATAGCAAATTTTCAAAATTATTAGTTAGGCTGGATAGAATATTATTATTTTTTAGATAATATAGTAATTTATACATTTTTTTCAAAGCTAATATATCTCCTGATACTTTACACATCCAAACGAAGAAGTCTATATTTAAACCAATCCCTAGAATACGTTCAAAAGAAATAATAAAGGAACCCGTAGATGATGCAGAAAATTCACCTGTTCCACATAAGTATACAGTAAGTAAAGAGAATGATGAAAATGAGAACGTGTACCAGTATTACACACGTTTATTGATTTTATTTCATTTGTTAATTAAACGACAACAAATTACGAGCAGCATCACCTCAAATCTGACCAAAATACAGCAGGCAATCATCATTGAGCAACATTTTCTACCTCCATGAATCCTACTCATATATTAATTAGTTACTTTGTAGAATGTGCTTTATTTGTACTAACATTAGTAGATTTGTTTTTGTACGTATTGTTTTGTGCACGTTGCAAGCTACACCATCACAGTTGCATGATAGTTATATATTAATATTGAATTAATGAAGATATAGCAGCTATATTAAAACACGAGTTTATAACAGAGGACGATAAGAAAGAGGAAATCCCGATTTCTACAACGTCTGCACCAAAATCTCACCCCGGGCCAGGGAGGCCCAGGATTCATCCCATCAAACAGAAACCTTTAAAACCTACCAAACAGCAGGTCCCCGTGAAGGTAAGTAAAGTAAGTACTAATTTTATTAACTTCTACATACATAATCAATCTACATCAATAACTTTAGCACATTCTAAAAGCCTTTGTTTCATATACGCTTCATTTATAAACAATACAAATTCATATCACGTTTTTATTTCACTTTCATCTTTGAAATCTTTCATCATTATTTATGTTGGTCAGGTTTGATTCTCTTAATAAGCATTTAGTGATATGCACTTAGTTTATTTGCTGTTTAATATAACTTTTATTTTTATATGTATTAATTTATTTTGCTATTAATTCATTCAAGTTGGTAAGTTTTTTTTTATTCGGTGAAGAAATTAATATGTATATATTTCATTGTGTAATTACTTATAGGATTCCGAGGGTAATGAGGTCTGGATTTGTCCTGCTTGTGGGAGACAGGATGACGGCAGTCCAATGATCGGTTGCGATGACTGCGACGCATGGTATCATTGGTATAAAATGAATTAACACCCCTTAAAAATATATGCTAAACATGTAATGTGTTTTTAGGGTATGTGTGGGTATTCAGGTTCCTCCAGATCAGAACGAAGACTGGTACTGCAGATTATGTCTGGTGAAGAAACAGGAAGTCTTGCAAACCGACAAAAAGAAGAAACGCAAGAAGCGAGAGAAAAAAGAGCACTGAATTTAATTGCGTTACACTTTCGTTTTCAACGAATGTGTAAGATCAAAATCAATAATTCTGATTTCTCAAAATCTAATCAAATTATTTAAGAAAAAAAAAACATAGAAAGAAAAATATTTTTTATTGTTTTATTAATAATTTATAAATTATATTAAGAAAAAATATCTATATAACTATATATATATATATTTAACGAACATAATGTTCTCTATCAACGTTGTTATTTAATATTTATATTGATTTTTACTACTATTATTAATATGTTATTTCGTATTATTTCGATAAGTTAGATCGAATAATTGATCATTTTAAAATAAAGAATGAATCTTTTTAATATATACATTCTTGATGACTGTGGTGTCCAAAGTAATTCTCTTTTTATGTGTATTGCATGTACATTTATTTTGCTCATATTGGGTTTTCACACAATTCTTGATGTTGGACATATTTATGTTGTCTTTGCTTCCTATAGTAGCAGTAATTATACTTAAAAATCATTTTCTGCATACTATTCAATTTTACTTTCATTATAATTGTCTTCCCGTCATACCATAACTTACTAAATGTTTTGTGTATTGTATCTGTAATTTGATGTAATTCTGTGTCACTAACATTAATCCATATAATGTATTGCAGTTGATTGGAAATCATATCGATTTATGTATAATTAAAGAAGATCTCAGTTTAACTAACTGTAATCTATCTACGCGTGTATCTAATGTAAAAGATAAATGTTTACATAATTAATGTGATTGTATTATGTTATATATTATTTTTTTAATCTGTAACCACTGCATGCAATACTATAGTATAACGATTTTTTTTTATATTTTGACGATTTTTTTTCTGTCGTTCCTTTAAATGTTATTTAATAATTGTTTTTGTTTGGTAATTTAAGTTTCTCGATGCGAAATAAATGTATGTTTCGTTAAAAAAATACGTTTTATTGAAATTTTAGTTTTGTTACCGTTCTTTACGATTTGTCCCATCGATTAACAGGTGTCCCAATTAGCGGAATCGATTGTATTTAGTAATATTAATGAAAATACTGTGGGATATTCTCGTACTTATTCCAATTCAAACCATAAAACGAAGAAAAATAGTTGAATTTCCAGAAACTAATGAATGAAATAAGTTTTTTCAAGTTTAACTGAATTATGACTAAAGTGACAAACGATACCAATATACACCTTTTAGGGCGTATACTTTAATATTGTTTAAAAATGAATTTGTCGCCCATACTTTTCGAGATATAAGCGTAAACACTGCTTCTACAATACTTAAAATAAAGATTCTTCAAGTTTGACAGTGAATTACGGCTAAATGATACAACTCGAATTAAAGAGTGACTATTTAGTTTGAGTTTGATTACTCATACTGGACATACTTTTAGACACATAAGCAAAAATGTATGCATTTTCGTTAAGCTTCGAAAATGCATACGGTATTTTTTCAAGATTGTCATGAATATTTAAAGATTATTGCAAGAAATGTGTTAATTTCTTCAAGAAACATGGTTATATGTATTATAAAAGATATAAAACAAGGATTTGTTGTATATATAGATTGTATATTTTGAAGTGATATATAGTTTGTTTTTTCATTACACATCAATGTCTACATATAATATAATTTAAAAAATATGAAATTCCAATAATATGCTTCAAAGTCTAAATGCATTTTATAAGACGATAGTAATATTAGGTATATAATATAATCCAGTCTTATATTCGATACACATATATATAGTTACATATAGTAGAATAATTTAAGTAGAATAAATTAAAAAATAAATTTTACCACATATATGTTATATATTTTAAGTGTATATATATATTGTTGAAAATTTTATTCCAATACTAGTTTTGCATCTTTGCCATTAATCTGACGGCAATTCCCGTACTTCAGTAGATACTCCCTCTTAGTGTAGGCGAAGGAGATATCTGTGACTAGAAAGATGTGTGCTGTTACGAATGCCAAAGTAGCTCCGAAGAAGAAGTTGGCGTTTGCGGTTCCCCAGAAGATCCACAAATCCCACAAGATAGGAGCCAGAGCGGTGGTGATTACGATGGTAACGGAGCTGATGAAGACTTGTTGCATGCCTACAAAAACAAATAATCTTACTAAAACCTATCTTTGTAGCGAGTATAAGATACTTACAGCTGTATAAATGTTTCCAGCATGGCAATAAAGCCAAAGATAAAGCGAAATCTCCAATACTTGGGTAAGACTTGAAGATGGCAATCAATGTCACAAAGCAGGCGGCAAGCAGAGGTGGGTCTTCGCGGAATTTAAAGGTGAGCGGCAAAAAGTATAGCACGGTTACGTTCATCTGATAGGAAAAGAGAAAGAGCAAACGGAAATGCTCGAACATCTCCATGAAGAAGTACCAGAAGACGCCGACGTTGGGCTGCTGGTCCGGTACCTTCAAACTGGAAACGGAAGTAGTAACTGTTGTTTTGAGTATATGAAATCAACTTACATGAAACCGTAAGTCTGATCCAAAAATTGGTAACCGTTGTATATAATACCGGAAATGTAAATTATTCCGATCACAGACAAGGCGTAGATGAATAAAGTCAAACAAGCCTGCAGATGCGACTCTTTCCTCTTGTACACCGTCAAGTATAAAGGAGCTATCATGATAACTGGGTAGAAAGATTGCAAGGTGGATAAAGTCATAGCAGCCAGGCTTATTACCAAATTATCTACAAATCATACTATTAAAGTGGATTCTCATGAAAACAGTTAATATTACCATATATGATCCCCACAAAGAATAATGATAAGAGTAGGTTGTTCACAGTGGTTGTAGTCATTGCAGCTGAATTGAATATGGTATATGGATTAAAGAGGAATACAACTAAAGCATACTGAGGAGGCAAATAGAGATCTCTGCCCTCCAGAAGTTGACTTAAAGCATCCTCAGCATAAGTGTGCTTGTTCTTCTCTTGCTTAATATAGAGTTTAAGCATGTACCTTCTAGCAAAGGTGTACAGGCAATGACCAGTTAACAAATCAATTAGCATGAAAATGTATGGCAAGTAATTTGGAAAATTATCAATAAGGAATGTATAGAACGTTAAATGCAATGGTGGAACGTGCAAGGAATCACTCTCATACGGATCAATCCCCAATGACATCCGGTATCTGCCTTCCACAACTGTAATAGATAATTGTAATGTCATCATTTAATTAAGGGCGAGCTACCCTCTCATTGATTTACCTCTCTTGAACGAATTCAAAGGCGTCTGAATCTCAATCCTGTTCACAATATCCTTCTGGAAGTCGGAATGCAGGAACAGGTAACGGACACCGACCGCCAACGAATAGGTCAGCAGCAGGTTCTTCCGGCTCATCGTCATCTTGGATATCTATGAAGTACTGTTTATTTACATGCAGCAGCCCGGATCTTTAGTATCTTTATTGTTTTAGGTTAGATTCGCTGTCAAAAAACAGTGATAGGTGTGGATCCCTACGGCCGCGCCCTCTGTCGACGAATCATCTAAAGGGCGCTTCTAATTATCGGTGAACAATACAGCATTCCGATCAATAAAACATTGATAAGGTCTATATTAGTATTTGCTGATTTTATGGATTTTATCACAAAACTTGAGATAATTAAAAATAAGAATGCAACGTCACTAATGAATCACCCAAATTGATAGCATGTTTTGTCTCCGTCCCTTTCATAGATTTGCATACGTTATGCCCGGCGTTGGAAAAGGATAATCATATAGGACGTTTGCGCAAACTCCAGTCAAATTGTCAACATCATAGAACATAGAGCGAAAAAAAATAAAATAAAAGTATGGTGACCAAGTGATAATAAGTGTAACACAGTTAATGTAATATTGGTCTTTGTTTTCCTTGATTTTTAAGGGCCTCGAGTGATTGAGCGTTTGATTTATTGATTTATACAACATGTCCGGCTTCGACGACAATCCCTTCGTGGAGCCCACGATTGATAATCCCTTCGCCGTAAGTACAAATCGAATTTGTTGCATTATGTGTCATTTCTCGTCATGTATTTAATGCTTAGCTTAACAATAATGTTATAATGCCTTGCTTCTGAGATCTCATGGGGTTTATGTTTGTTTCTTTGGGAATTTCTAGGACCCAGCAGTTCAACAAGTTACAAATAATGTTAATGCTCAAATTAATGTTGAAGATTATAATCCATTCGAAAATCAACCGAATCAACGACCAGTAAGCACAATACAGCTATACAATTAGAATAGCATATTGCTATGTGCATTTCATCTATGCCCCGTTCTTTCAGATTGGTTATAAACAAGGCAACTCTGAACCAGCTATAATGCAGCCCATACAGGATCCTCCAATGTACACCAGAAGTGCACAACAGACACAGCCTCATGCAGTGCTGAACACTGCTGAATTGCAGGTAATTACTAATCTTAATCATTTGATCACTATGTACATGTGTAATGAATTTGTAGAGGAAACAAGAGGAACTGGAACGCAAAGAAGAGGAACTAGCAAGGAGGGAAGAAGAAATGAGGCAGAGCTCCTACAATGTTAGAAGGAACAACTGGCCTCCTCTGCCTGAGCAATGCTGTTTTCAGCCTTGCTTTTATCAAGACATAAATGTAGATATACCGCTTGAATTCCAAAAAATCGTCAGACATCTCTACTACTTATGGATGTGTAAGTAGTTTTTAGAAGAATTGATTATCAGTCAAATTACAGCTGTAATTACTTTGTAGTTCACGGAATGGTCATGATACTAAATGTTATTGGTGGCATAGTATTAATGAGGTTCACTGTTATTGGCCTGGGGATTTTGTTCACCCTCCTGTTCACGCCGTTCTCTTATCTTTGCTGGTTCCGTCCGGCATATAAGGCTTTCAAGTCGGACTCTTCGTTCAACTTCATGGTGTTTTTCTTTGTATTCTTCTTCCAATTCGTTATCACGACGGTACAAGCCATCGGGATTCCCGGATCGGGAACCATGTAAGATCTCCACATTTAAAGCTCATAACTTTATTATTCTTGTTTTCTTCTTTCAATTTTCAGAGGACTCATTATTGCGTTGAATGTATTTGATGGCACCGTTTTGGGAATATTGTCTGGAATATTTTCTCTGCTTATCGCTCTCGGCTTTGCTTGCGCGGCGGCCGCTGATATATTTTTAATTTCCAAGGTGAGATCAATAATACCGATTGAATAAGTTAGTAGATAACGTCTGTTTTTGTAGATTCATCGCATGTACAGAAGTACCGGTGCCAGTTTTGCAAAGGCTCAGGCTGAATTTACTACTGAATTCTTGAGGAACTCGCACGTCAGAGAAGCCGCATCCGATGTGGCTGCTGCTGCCGTCCAGTCGCGTTTCCAAACTCCGGAAAACAGATACTAAGAATTATTCACTTTAGTATATATATCTATAAGTAGAGGTGGGCGTTCACGTTCACCCGCCACGCCCACTCTTCCCACAAGCCACACCTCTTATGGTCTTATGGGAGGAGTGCGAATGGCTGTGTTTAGTCATAAACTGTTAACGATTATACATTATTTTTAAAAAAACACTATTAAGCTTTACAGGATTATTTGCTTCGCATAATTTATACAAATTCTGACTAATTGTATATTTTGAGTGAATGTATTTGTTGTATTTTGTTTATATCTTTTATTTTTTTTGTTCAGTTCATGTTGTATAGTACATAATTGTAGATTGATTTGTACTTAACATTAATTTCTCACAATCTATACACACTACTATTATCTTTCTTTAATCCTCCCAAAATAAAAATGTCAGTAATTTTTATATATATAATATATTAAGTTATTCACATTATAATTAATTTTTAATGTTCACCAAATAAACGAAGTAATTAATGAACTGAAATGACAACAAAACATCGTTTAGATCTTCGCAGATTTTGTTTTTAACGACGAGCATTGTTATTGAAACAGTTGAAAAGTGTTCACTGCGAATGACAACAAAAATCTAATCTATATTTTTATCAGAAAATCTCATCATATACAATAGAGTGAAAAGCAAACTAAAAATTGCTTTTTTTTTATTGATCGATCGATTAATCAATTAAAGGAGGGTCAATATACTAAAGAATTTTAAAAATTGTTATTACATTAACTTTTCTTTTATACATTTTGTAATCATATACTACATGAAGACTATTACGTATTTTATCATTAAAATTGTCTATTCTAATAAACAAATAAACGCACTTTTATTGCCCTCAAATTCCATCCAACAATTTTGTAATACAATTTTCATACATCCTGCTGATAATATATATCTTATTAAACATTCTCATTTTTATCTAATCATATCTCAAATATATAAATACACCATTTTTATTGGTTCTTTACTTTATACAACACAGATTAACTTAATCATCTGTGTTATATCTTAATATTTTTAGTTGTAAATTATCAAAAAATATTAATATCCTATATTTATTGCTTTATATCAAAGGAGTAATCTTACATTTGCAATCACTTTAGTATCATTGAATAATAATTTATCTAATCATGTAGATCAAACATAAATTCACACCGGTTAATCGGTGCGACAAATCCTAAAGAACGAAAATAAAACTAAGGAAATAACACAAATTTGCTCTGCTTTTTCGGGACAATAATCCTTTTAATCGGAACATGGACGCCTTATACATACATATTGTTGCAGAATTTATATGATTTTCTATTATGTAGTACGTACACATTTTTTTTTGATATTGTGTGCAATTAAAAAAATTATTGAAAGACACTATTTTTTTAGGAACTTTGGATAATTGGGACAAAATGTACTAGTTCCGATTAATTAAAAAAAAATACTTTATAAATAATATTTATTGTAATAACTACATAAAACACAAAAAAAAGTATAAATAAAATAAAAATTATAACAAAATATTATATATAGAAATATTTACTAATAAAGACAAATATTTGTATATTTACATCTCTTAATATTTTTTTTTGTTCTTTGAATTTGTCCTAAAAGTGGAATAAAGGAAGATGAGAGGTTATTATTTAAATAAAAGATTGTTGATATATCAAAAACAAGAAAAGTATTAAATCTTGCTACTTTATTTCACCTTTTGGTACAGTTTATATTCATGAAATAAAGTAAGATTATTACAATAAAATTGGCAGTAAAATTGTCTATTCAAATAAACAGATATAAGCTTCCCGTCCTGTCATTACCCTCCGTCGATCGCCTACGTTTGTCTAATTCCGTCGATGCAAATGCTACTAATCGGTCGAAACCTGAACTTATTTTGTCTTGCCACTTCGACTCCTCGCCTTCCTCTTCAACTTCAATTTCTACTGAAAAAAGGTGCAATTAAATACATGTTCATCTGCGTTCCGACGGAAACACTAATAATAAATAAATAAAAAAAATAATAATTAAAGAACTTAACGAAAATAATGAAATTATATTTCGTGAAATTAAACGATATGTATATATATGTAATAATAATAATAATCATAATAAAACGAGATACAATTATATACAGGCCGTTTCGCAAATGGTACCGATCAAATTTTGTTACTTCGGATTTAGGATATAAGAGTATAAGAATACTGATGTCACTTTCTTTTTTTTTTATATATAGATAGATATGCACCACCCTGTATATAAAAATCATATGCAAAATAAGAAAAAAAATAGAGTAAAAATAATAATAATAGTAAAACCACCACCAAAATAAATCAAATCAAATAAGTTAATCAATTAATAAATAATAAATTTTGTTGAAATTAATAATATAAAATCATAAATAAAGATGCTGAGCAAAAATTATAAATAAAATAGCACAAAGCTACTTACCACCAATTTTTATCAGCCATCTAAACTAGTATGGTAGGGATAATATGCATGCGCGATTTTGTGCACTAGAAATTGTGCATGCCTGTACTGTGCTGCCTCCTATTTTAACGCAAACAAACTACAGTAAATATCAAAAATTCCAATGTCCATTATCAACACGAGTAAGTTTTCTCAAAGCTCTAGTTTTCTCATCAATCATAAAAAAATAATATAATTAAAACAAAAAATATGAAACTCAAATCGAAGTCAATTATAAGACAAAATACAAAAAGAAAAAGTTGTGAAGAAAGAGAATATATATTTAAAAAAAAAAGAAGGGAAATAATTGAAATGAAAGTTAATTAAATAATAACAACAAAACGCAAAAGGGAAATAGAAAACATAAAGTAGAAAAACCACCAGAAAATTTAATCGTGCCATAATGACGGTTTTCTTATTGTTTTTTTTTTCTTCATTTATCATTTAAATTTGCCTAAATTAAATATTTTCCAGATCACAAATTGCATAATATGTTTAATATTATGTGTACGTATGTATATCTTTGTTCGTTACGACGAGGAGACATTTTTATTATTATCAACAAAAGGATATTATTGTATATATAAGTATATATATATAGAGAGAGAAAAAAAAGTCAGTTAAAAACTAAACAAAAGAAAATAAAACTAAAAATAATAATAAAAACAAAAACAAACAAAAAAAATAATAATTAATAAATAATATTAATCAAGAGATTATTAATTGGATGATGTCGGGCGTGCAAATGATGAACTACACCTATTTAACTGCGATCCAACCTAAGTAACGTGGATGAAGCGTTCAAAAAAAAAACTGGTGTAAACGAAAATATGAGTACCAAAGCTATGTACAAAGCATGCGACAAGCTCGAATCTACTGAAGTAAAAATAAATTAAAGTAGTAAGAAATAAAGTAGTAGTACCCCACATGCACAAAACACTATATACAAGTTTAAATGATGCAGATTCAAACGGTAAAATAAATCAATAAATAAATAAACAAAATAAAAATTGGTGGTGGAATTTGATATTCATGCCTAAGAGTTGCACTGGCCTCGATGTAGCCAATGAACGAGCGTGCATTTCGGCATCACGATAACATAACAAAATGGGAATTGAATATGTTTCTCTGATTAATTCTTTCTTTTTTTTTGTATAATTAAATAAAGGAAAATGTACGCTATACATTCAATAGTTTATGTATAATGAAAGAATAAGTGATTTAAAATCAAATTTAAAAAAAAAGATAAAATAAATAAACATGAATAAGCAACCATAAGCATAAACATGGGCGACCTCTATGTTTTTGGTGTTCGTATCTCATCAAATGCATTGTGCTATTAATAAATTATAAATAAATCAAAAATGCATCAATGCTACACAACAAATAAAATAAAACAACAAGTTTCTGTTTGTTTGATCCGCTTTCGCTCACTTTCTTTCACTCTCTTATGCGCGCGCGAAACACCACTCACTCACTCTCAAATCTATTAAAAATAAAAAAAAATCGGTAAACACAACCATTATGTCATTCAAGTGTATTAGGTCAGCTCTTATTTTTTTTGTAATGTGTGAATGTGAATAAAAGTCCAATATAAGCTTGGATCTTTTTTTAAATACATTGTGATTCTAAATACAAGATCAGCAAGCATCACTCGTGTATCATATATATTTATATATTACATTGAAATGTACAGATTCAGTTTCTGCGTATTTGTTAATGCTTATAGTGTGGCTGCTTTAGAGAAGCGTTAGGTGTATTTAGAATCACTCTGTACGTGGAATTCATGCATAGTTAATTCGATATTACTTTTAAATTAATGATTTGATCATATCTCAGAAAATCCTAGAAACAAATAATAAAATGGAAGAAAATCATATTTAAAAAAAAAACAAAAACTGACATAAAACGCAAATAGAATGTATGGTGAATAAAATCCATATAGTCCGATAGTGTAGCACAAGTCTGATGATTATGAATATGGAGTGGCGAGACGACTATATGAAAGTTATCGTGGTGAAATAAAGTAAACGAAATAATAATAAATAATAGGAATAAAATAAAATAAATAATCGTAATAATTTGAAAACCCAAAGTAATTGTAATATAACATATTATATATATAAAGGGAAACACGAATGTCGGAAAAGTTCTGTTATGTTTGTTTCGGTTAGTTACCAACACACAATGATATTATTAATATGAATATTATTATAATCGATATAGGTATTATAGATAATGAAAACGAACGTACCTTCGACAAGAAGCTTCCTTTCAGCGTCCATTGGCAGTGTGGTTTTAGCTCGTTCTGGCGGTGAATGATGGATGCGCGGATAATTTCGATGTCCTGCATCTGGTATGTAAGTTGAGACGGCTTTGTTCCTGATCGGCCCATGTATCACAGGTGACTCGCGTTTATAATGGCAGTCGGTTGATGTTGATTCAGTCTTTATATCATGATATTGTAAATATCTACGTTCGCAATCAATTTCCTCTTTGATGTGAGGTCCGTTCATAACCCTGGCAGCTAGTCCTTCAGGTACAAAATTGCTTCTACTCTCGGCTTCCACCATTGAAGGCTTAATGTCAGTAAAATACGATTCGTGGTATTTTATGTCGGCTCTTGGCAGCGGTGTGTAAGGCTCGTAGGACGGTCTTGCCTGGGTTGGGTACAAGACCGTCGTCCGCGGTGAAAATTGTGATTGTCTTGGTGACTGTTGAGGGGGTGGCGGCATGTACACTGAATGCGTGTTCACTTTAATGTGGGGATTTATGTAGGCTAAACCTTCTAAGCCTTCTGTCGACGAAGGCCTCGAAATGGGACTGTAAACTTGTCTCATAGGGGCAGCCTCGGGCTCCTTCGGAGGTTCAGGCACCTTCACGTTGACCCTTTCAGGTCGTGGCAGGTTTGTGTTAATCACATGATGAGTACGTATGTCGCTCATATCAACGGCGGCATTTATTATCGATTGATTTGATATCTCCAATGTCCTTTCGATTTCGCCGGACATCAAATCACCTATTGTTCTAGTAGCAACTATGCTTTCTGCGGGGGGATTGAATACGTGGTGCTGCGCAGCAGCCAACTTCTCTTGGGATAGGTGCCTCCTTAATGCCAGCTTTGCGGGCGATATCTGCGTGTAATCCGGTTGCTCAGGCTGTGAACTTCTCGGCTGTATCGGCGATATCCTAGGGGGTTCAGGTTCTACGTAGTTTTCCGTCATGCTGACTACTAAACCTTCGTGTGTTTGAGCAACTTTTGCCTGTTCTTCTGCAGGCCTCACTATCGTCTCGCATCTATTCCCATTGTACTTAGGGTACTTTCGTTCATCGTGCTTCGTATTCGCCATATACTGGTTGTATGAATTGTACTGGTGGTGAGGGGTGGGTGGTGCATTATAAACTGGGGTCGGTGCCTGATTAGGACTATACATGGATGGAGTATGTTGCTGTTGTGGTTGTTGATGATGTGGTTGTTGATGTTGCGGTTGCTGATGCTGGGATGGCTGATGTTGCGATGGTTGATGTTGCGGTTGTGGTTGTTGATGTTGTGGTTGCTGATGTTGCGGTGGCGGTTGCTGCTGCTGCTGTGATTTCGACCGTGTTTGTTGGTCTTCATTCAAAACAGACGTGATGATACTTTTCAGGCGGTCTTCAAAATTAGCAATTCTTGGTGGTTCTTGTGGTCTTTGATGATGTGAAGGTGACGGATGGGACGATGGTGTATTACTGATTTTCGGTCGTTTCGCGACCGGTACTGGGGCAGGCATTGATGTTCTTGACGACGTTCGTTGATTACTCGACGGGCACTTCATAGGCATATTCATCTGAGGTAGTTTGCTATTGCTAGAAAGTTGTTTACTCGCTTCTATCATTCTACCTTTCTCCAAGATCTTTTGTGCGAGAATCTCCGGATTCTGCTCTTCGATCTTTGCAATATCCGGCACATCAGGCCAATCCTGTGACCTAGCTCTGTAGTCCCTGGATTTACGGGATACTTTGGTAGGCGCTATTTGCTGCTGCCTGGCCATAAGGGCCTGCGCTTGCTTTCTCTCCTCGCTCGATTTCTCCAATGATAGAACTTCGCCTTCCAGTAGGCTCACCTGGTTGTGCAACTTTTTTCTATGCGACAAAGTAGATGAAATCTCGCGCAAGATGCACTCTTCTGCCATGTTTGCAGACAATTCTCGATTCACCTCTGGTTTACCATATTTCTCCGCAATTTCCTGTTTCCGCTCAATTACTAAAGCCTTCTGCTTCTCTTCCAAATTGCCTACTTGTATTTGTAACTTACTGGCTTTTGCCTGGAGATCTTTGTGTCTACAAACAATTTCCTTGGCCTTCGCCAATAGGTCCACCGGGGAAGTTGCATTAATACCCAATTCGCTCATTCTAGCTTTCAGCAAAGCTACGCTGTCGTCTATGAGCACTTTAATCTGTTTCTCTAGTTGCGCCGCTCTGCTTTGCAAACGTTGATTCCGATCCTTCTCCTCGGCGATTAACTGCTCGATGTTATTCTTATAGTCCGGTGATTTGAATTGATCAATCATGTTCATATATTGTACTCTATACATATCCAATAGGATCTGCAGAGAGTAGGGCGTATCTCCGGGAGCTTGGGGTATGTCCAATTCATCGTGAACCATTTCCGTGCTCAGAGCAGTCAGCTGTTGATCAACACATCCCGGAGGTGGAGGAAGTTTCTTACCATTTGCTGAAATAAGGATAGTTTAAATATAACTGATCACAGTCATAATTAATATTCGTAGAATACTGACCTTGTGGTGAAGTACTCAACAACGTTTGCGAGTGAAGCAAATCCAGGCCGTTGATCTTAATAGCCTTTTTGGGCTTGGCTTTCTTTACTCTTCCCCTACGCGGTTTATTTATGGGCTTAGCGGGCGTCGTTTGATTTTTTCCTCTCGAAATCTTCCGCCTCAGTTTTTTCGGTTGCCTCTTGCCCTACAAAAGCATATAATTATTTCATGTAACATAAGAGACATCAACAAATACTACCTTGCCCGTAACCTCCTCTTCGGATTGGCTGCTCTTGCCCTTGTTTGAACACCAATCCGACCAGGCTCTGCGAGTTGTAGGCCCCAATCCGTAGTTGCCATCTTGATCATAGAAATCTGAATCCGAAGAAGAATCATGTATCTGTTTCGTCAAGTCCCTCCTGGTTTTTTCTCGCGATGACCGCACATTGTTGGAATCCTCGTTTTCCTTAACCTTGGGATTCCGCAATCTTTGGAAATAGCATTCCAATTTGGTTCTATCGATGATGTGAAGGTAATACGAAACGGGCTTCCCCGTCCAGGAGACGGAACCACGCAACGGTGACATTTCCGATACATGCATTATCGTGCCGATGTCACTGAGATTACGATCAGTAATTCGAAAGTTAAGTGGACAGAAGCTTTTAGAAGAGACGATCCTGGCGCCGTCCTTCAGATCAGCAAAGCGCTCCTTCAGTTGGTGGTCCACAGTAGGACCAAAGGCAAAATTATTTACGAACACTATGGTGGCAGAATTGATTTTCTCTCTATGTTCCTCCATGAGGAAATCTCCCTTCATTAGTTTGTACTCCCCGAACTTCTTTCCGTACCACTTCATCCACGTACGGAAGTTCTTGTTCATAGACTAAACCAAAAAATAACAACAATTAATGAATATCTTCTAAGCACATTATGTTGTAATCAGTGGTTACCTCTGCATATCGGCTAGGTACTTCAGCTCTTTCAATACCTAAGCAAATTTTGCATGGCGTTGCTGCAGCCATTTGTAGAACAACTTGACCCACGCCAGAACCCAAATCAATAAATATGTCTTCTGGTGTAATATCAATTTGATCTATCATTTGGCTGATGAGCTCATACGATGTTTCTCCATAAACCTACGATTATACAATAGTTAAAAGATGAGATTAATCAAAATGATACACATGCAGCTTACTTGCATCATCTGTTTAATTTAATGAACAGATTATTATTAGATAACATCATATTTCGTAAGTGCATATATGTTTTACTTTACCTCAGGTGAAAATGGTTCGTATTGATTTAGTTTGTCCGGATCTGTGACGGCTTGATTGTAAGTCTGTTGCAAGATGTGCCTAAGCAGGCCTCTGCTGGGATATTTATTTAATCGTTGTGCTGGCAGTGACGTTCCCTTTTCCTACAATCAACAAAAATTAGTCCAATCCTCGCGCGCTCACCACTACGAAACTCACTAAAGCAACGAGACTATCAATGGCTTTATTAAACCTATCACATAATGCCTTCATGCTATCATAACTTCGTGTGTCATAATTTGTAAGTATATTATTTTCCATGGGCAACTTAAGTTCGGGCAAATCCTCACACACCCATCTATTAGAAACGAAAGAAGAAGAATAATCAAATAAATAACTAAAACAAAAAAAACAAGCGTCGAACGATTCGATGCGAACAGATCAATTACCTGATGGTCTCAACAATTTCAATTGCTCCATCATGACGGTCCTGAAAAAGAAATCCCAGATAAGTATCATTCTTCATCAAATAACTAAAACCTGATTATAATATTCCGTCCCCTGGCATTCCTCCATTTTTCCTCTTGCGTTTTATTGAAAACCCTTCCTTCCAATGCGCGCAACTCTTTTTTTTTTTTTGCAAACCACATGGTTTATTGCAGCACAAATGGTCACATGCAAAGCATTCCAATACAATTTCAAAAATTATAGACAAAATAAATTTCATTAAATCTATTGTAGTTTAATTTTTGAAATTCGTTCCATTTTATATATAAATATATATTTGTATCACTTATTGATTCAATTATTTTCTGGGAATACGTTACATGAGAAGTCATGCTCTCATTAGAGAATTCATGGAAAACGGTGAATTACTGTGTATACTGTAATAATGCGAAACCCTCTCCACGCTGTATTATATATATATATCATTTTTAATTTTCTTTATGACGCAGAGGCAATATTTACAACAGCGCTGTAAAGTTTTCCCAGAAACGTCCACCAGCATGCTATTTAGAAAGTTTTAGGGTGTCCGAAGACGTAAATATTGTTGGAGAAATCTGCACAGTTTATATTGTCGTGCCATATACAAGTTTACGACAATATTGTGCATGGTGTTGACCATGCAATCAACAAGCCATCCTCCTTGAATGGAAAATGTAGGTAAAGAAAAAGCGACGATTTACTTGATTTGTCTGGGTGCATCGAGAACTGCTGTTTACAAACAATGATCACAGTTGCTTAAGAATCGAGTAACATATAAATATTATGAATCGAAATCGGATATTCTCGATGCCGAGTGAATGGCATAAGTAGACAGATAGTGTTATGTAAACATTGGCAATGCCATATGACGATTCCGCCTTATCATTATAGTAAACAGTTTCAATTTTCAATTTTTGATCTTCCGTCTCGAAAACGTATTTTGATCGATTCTATAAACAATGCATGATCATATCGAGCGAGCTGCAGCACACAAAGGTGAAACTCTACGTCGCATCATAAATTATGATGATCAGTCACGCTCATGGACGTACGTGCATTAAATCAACTATCAATAATGCTCGACTCAAGTAACTAAAGATACTAAATGATTGCTCTAATATAAATATAATGAAATATTAGTTGTTTTTTTTGGCTTATAATAAATAAACTAATCGTTAAGCGTATCAAAATGAAAGCAGTGTGGTTTGCAGTTGATGTGATGAATACAAAAACTGTTCACTTCTTCATTGATCCTCGCTTTCAAAAATGTACAGTTCGATAGAACATCGCTTCTGGATTGTCTGAACTAGAAAACAAAGGGATATTCGTTAAAAAAACACCACACTGACGAGAGTAAAAAAACTTTCAAATGGATGTCTGTCATGAGTTTGGTTGAAGGTGGATTGGATCAACAATTGTTTCGATGACAAATAAAACATGATTGAATGACTTTTGTATGATCATCGATGAGTTTTGTTAAAGTAGTACATCAGGTGCACCTTCTCATTTACATATTACTATATATTACAAAGCTTTGTTGATGTTGATGTCAAACATATTTTACACCTGATCCATAGAATAATCGCAATTGTAATCAACGAGGAGTCGATGAGTTTCGATTGATAAGTTGATCTGGAATTTGCGAAAGCCACTGTTAATTGACAATCAACATCAGAAGAAAAAAACATCAAGAAGAGAAAACAGATTTACACAGATATTACACCAAGCACAGTTATAAAAATAAACAGAAAATAATCAATAAACATTCAGTTTTTTTTCTTACAAGTCACATCAAGTTCAATGACCATCAGCATCAGAAGAAGAGATCGAGTTACACATAGCACAATCAAGACAGCTTAAAGCATGATTACGATACTAACATAAGCTAATCTCATCAGATATTTTATAGATAACAATGAGCATGCTTACAATCACATGTATCTTTTACAAGTTAAAATTGCTTACAAATATTCGTGATCAATCCAAAATAATATTTAAAAAAACGCTTTCACAAGGTTATTCACACAGAAAATGATGAATGCATAAACAACAACATTTTAAATAAACATAAGCAAATAGAAGTACAACATTTAATTGAATCATGGAGTAATTAAATTTATTATTTATAAATATAAACATACTGTTCATTGAAGGTCAAACAGTTAAGACAGAAACATTTCAGGAAGATAGTCAATGAATGTTCCTTCAAGATCTTTAGTTTAAAAAAAATAATCGTGAATGAAATTTTTAAATTTAGTTTAGTAAATTATAGAATTACGCAATTAAACGCTTTCATTGATAATGTGTATCTTTGAGAGTCGCACAGAGGGGTCATCAGAAATAATCTCGGAAGTCAAGTGGTGTAAAAGTTGTTTCAATTACAAATAACTATATTGTGTGTGTATATCCCAGATTGCAGATGAGTGGGGCATTCAAAATCATTCGCAATTGATATTAATAGTAGAAGCGTTGGAAGCAGAAATAGATTGAAGCTACAGCAACAAACTTCATTTTAATAATTATAGAAATATGAGTAATAAGGTTTATTGTATTATATTGAATAAATGTAGTTTTTTAAAGCAATTTCGTATGCTATGTACATGCTAAAACAATTATGAGTAATGTTTGTTAATTGTATGTGTACATGGGAATACCATTATATAAACAACCCAGATTTTTACTAGAAAAATGATTTCGAAGACAAACCAAAACATTCATCGAGTCATAACTACACATATTTAATAACTACTCTAAACAACATACAAAATAATAATAAAACATAGTTTTAGTCACATTGAAACATACTGGTTAATAATTATCATAAAAAAATAATGAACATTGTACTTACAACTACTCACATTGAAATAAAAGTAAACAAAATAAAACTACTAAATACAAAAATAAATAAAGCAGAGATTTAGGTGTTAATTGGACTAAAAAATAGAACATATATCTTTTTGGAGGGAAAATGATGTGGAGATTTTGTTAGTGCAGTTGAAAATAATTATCGAAGTGAGAACATTTTTTTTTTTGAGGGAATTCAATTGATTGATGTATCATTGATATGGATTTAAATTCTAATTGTTGTTGAGGTATTGAGGTATAAGAAAAAAATCAGAAATGGGAATTTGTGAATGGGAAAACCCAAACAGTTTCCCATTCATGACAAATACTAATTGATGAGTATAATTTTGGAGGGAAGTGATTCATAGTTATTCCATTGATTTAGCTGATGGGAAGGCACAAATTAGAATCTCAATTAACTGATAAATTCTGAGTCTTATATAAATGAGTCCAAGCAAGCAACAATTATAAATTTGGAGGGAAATGGATGATTGAATTATTTTACAATTAAAAGAACGGATGTTACAAATGTTCAAATTGATTACAGTGGAATTATGTTTTGGGAGCGAATTTGTTTTCATTGCACAAATGTTAATTGGGATGTGATATGGAAATTCATTTTAGCAAGCAGCAAATAAGCTACAATCATTCATGTGAAAGTAAGCAAACAAATGAAATTGAATTAGCATAGAAAGCAGCGAGTAGTAGTTGTTGTCAGATGGACTTAAGTTGTTGAAAACAACCCTGTGTGAAAGTCTAAATAAATGAACATTGGTTTTTTGGAAAGTACTGAATGAGAAGTTCGCAGTTGGATGCAACCAATTACTTGGAGGCAATCAGCTGGTGTGTGAACCTTAGCTGAAAGGTGCAAATGGAAGCAATGGTAACTGGATGGGAGTGTTTTCAATTTGCTTGGGAATTATGCAACTGACAAGAGGGGTTTTGATCTGATGAAATTAGTTGTTTCTGTCGAGGCCAGTTTGATGGTTACTGTTTCAATTGCAGAGCAGCGGTGTGCCAGAAAAAGCAGAGACAAGAAAAGAAGGTGACTGATGTGACAGTGTATGGTGGAATGAATGAGTTAATGGTATAACAATAATAAAAACACAGGGAGCGGTTAAATATCTTTGGGTAGGAGGCGGTGCGAGGAAAGCTGCGGGATTTGATTATCTTTTTTTTTAGTTGATGTATGATTTAACTTACATTTCCACGTCCTGAGGTTAACGGCCAAGTATATAACACAGGTTCAGCCCCTGCGGGGGAGTGCAGCTTCAGCTGCTGAGCCATCGCTCCGGAGGATGTATCAACTGTAGAACGATCGCGCACTGAACCCTCTAATGCTCATTGGCATCACCATTTGTCCATCCCGAGCATACAGCAGGATTTTATTCACAGAGTACAGCGAAAACACGCCATCGCTGATCGTTCACCCTGCGCACGCAATGCTCGTCGATGCACGTAGTGTTGCCAGACGAGAGGAGGTGGTCCGCTCCGCTCCCAGCTAGGATCCACCTCACGCAGCAATACCAAACTTCTAAAAGGGTCCTTGGTGTGGCGGCAACCACCTGGACGACTACAAGACCATTTGCACGTACCCACGCCGATGTGAGAACCCTAAAAACAACAACAGTCCTTCGCTGGTACACTCACATCACACTTAAACTGCACCTAACCCTAAAAACCGTTTCACTGTACTACCAAGGCTCGAAGCTCTGAACTAGGTGGAACTAGGACTGGGATAATCCCGAGCATCCGACAAGCGCGCCTTCAGCTTTACCAAACAACCCAGGTTTGCCACCACAGCACCTTCAAACCGTTCGTATTGACTGGACTGCGTGCGTAACGGAACCAGAACTATTTTATCTACTGCTGATGGTCGATGCCTAGCCTAGATGGACAACTTCTGCTTCTGCACGTAGACCACCGTTGACCCATCGGTCGGGTCATTTACGATCCACGAACATAGAGCGCGAGTCCAGTGCTCGACCAACGTTTGACCCCCGGACCGCTGCATTGTTTGTGCACCTGATTTTCGGCTGCAATAGCATTTAAATTTAGCTTGGTATTGAAAGGAGCCGGGTCAACGACCTCCGCGACCGCCCCGCATTCCGTACAAAGGACCCGAAACAAAAATAAAACTGCTTCGACAAACAATAATAGAAATCCGTCGGCGCCACCCAAAACAAACTGCTCTGCACTCGCGAACGCTCGTCCTCATCCGAGGCCCTTTAATCGATTACAATAACAATACACTTCACCTGAATGCCATCAAAACAAACATTACAAATGCAACAATATTCATGTAAATTACAACTAAAAATACCTGACATCATCATGACCTACAAATGCATTACATAAAATACAATAATATCCTTCAAATCTAATAGAGAAAGACAAAACTAAAAAGAAATATTTATAATGTACAAATATTAGACAAATGTATTAGTCACATGATGCACATCCAACATTCAAAGCATTGCATTGAACTAAAAACACATGAGGTTTCGTGACCTACAAATGTATTATTACCGCCATAACATCTAAACACTAGAAAACTATTATAGATAAAAACTTACATAAATGAACAAATATAAAATTTTTGTTCATTACATAACTAACGAATAAATAAAATATTATAAGCATAAAATATTAATAAACATAACAATTTCATAAAAAACATATTTATTAAAAGAATAAGGACAAAAGGAATAACGATTTATAAATTTAATAACTCGAAGTAATAAAAAATATACTAGTTGTTTGTTTAAGCTATGATCAATTTATACAAATATTATACTAAAACTATTTAATAGAATTTAATAGAAATGGGATCATATATATAAACCGTAGAAATTAAAAACTTAAAATAATAATAATAAAACTATTATGGCTATAATAAGGCATAGAAAACAATAGCATAAAACAAACTGAACTGTTAATTGCGAACAAATAAGAATTCTAACGATAATATAAATATAAGTATATAAATAAAAATAGGTTTTAATTTCTTATTAAAAGAGAAAACAGTAGATAATATCAAAACGTTAATTTTTTGTTTGTTTGTTTTGCAAAACAAACATAGAAACTGAATATTTTAAGTCCTAATTAAAGACAGGACTCATTAAATATATGAATTGAATAACGGCAATAAAAATATAAATAACAAGAAAATTTAAATTATACAATCAAATAAACGTTGATAAAAAAAACGCGCATGTTGTTGTTTTTTTATTATAAACAATAACAGTGCATTGTAGATCATCGCAGATTCAATGGAAATAATAATAAAAAAAAAACCTGACCAGTTGTCCTTCCAAACTATTACTGCATTGTAAATAACTGTAGTCAGTGCTAAAAAAGAAAATCTATACGCATAAGTAAAAACTATTTAAATCATGGCTATTAATAGCAATCAACAAAGATTTTTAAATGAAACATTTATTGTTTTTGCAATAAGTTGTTAACCTGGGTATATGTAAAACAGAGGTGATCGTTTTCATATACGAAACCGCAAGGTGAAATGATCGAAGTAGTAGTTGCGGTAAAAAAAATATAATATAGTAAAAGTTTGTTGATGTTTATATTCTAGGTGACTTTGAGGTGATTTCTATTTTAAATAATAGATATACTAAACTTATGATTTTAAGAAATAGTGTAACGGACATTTCAAGTTGATTGATTCATGTTTTTTAATGGTTTGACGTCAAAATGAATGCTATTACACAGAATACATAAATGTATTTATTGAAATATAATTAGAAAAGAAGGAACTTCGAGAAGAATGAGTGAAATATGTGAAAAAAGAGAGACGGAGAAGAATGAATCACTATACCGCACTGGTCAGCTGAAACAACAAAATGAACATAACCTAACGTTTTTTGCTCAAAACGTTAACGTGGATAAATAATAATAAGTATGTACAAAACTGTTAACTAGCAACTGAAGGCAAAAACTACGTGGACATTATTTAAAAATAGGCTGTTATAAAATGAATATAAACTTAATAATATACTCTGTATTAATATCTGTGATATGTGTGCTTCTTGGTGTAGTCCAATGATATGCCAACTTCCTGCCAGATAATATCATCCAGACTAAGAAGGTGCCAAATGACTTGGAAGCGGAGGCAGCAGTGGCAAGGTGGAGAAGGCTCTCAAGCACTTTGAAAATGCTGCCAGTCTTGTCGCAGATAATCCGGATGTGTTGAATGAATATGGTCAGTTCATTGAAGAACAGCATAATGTCATCACCTGCTAATGGGAGGTGTTATAATTTGATTTTTTATTATAGGCTCTCAATTACTCTCCTGATGCTATATCAAACAGTAAACGCACAGCTCATCTGGTTGACCAATTAAATCTGATAATATTTCATCATTTAGATGAGAAGAGGGACTTACTAATGGCTAATATAGATGCTACAAATTTTGAAACCAAAAAGCTGATTTTTTTATCTGCATATATACCACACTGTAAGTTATTTCACATAGTAAATAGATGATACTATCATAATAAAGATGGAAGAATCATTTTAATCCAATTTGTATAAAGATAATTGGTAGCTTATAAATTCTTATTCTTTCAATTTCAAATAATTTATATGGTTAAACATTTCAAATAGAACTGAAAACTTGAAGAAATTATCCTTGGAATAAGTATAATATTTATTCCTATAATTGTCTCATTCAAATTAGAACTACACATTTTATATATTCTTTTGAAATTAAAGCCATTTTTTACAATAATATACCAATGATATTTATGTGATATTGGTTGCCTATTTTAATATTTCTATTGATGTTAATACAACTTATATTGTTAAGTTTTAAAGTGTAATTTATATAATAAGATTATTTTGATTTGATTGTTACTCGGTTTTCACGTCTTTCATTCGTTTTTTTTTTTTAAATTGGGTCTTTCCTTGCGAAATTGTGCTTGACACAAGCTAGGTGAAGAGTTGTGGAGGTTTAAAAGAAGTAGAAGAAATTGTCTTTAATTTTTTAACAGATTTCATCTGATAATTTATCATATACTAATATGAATTAACAATTATCCTTCAGTACCAATAGTATATGAATTTGTATCTTTGAGAACATTTTCAGGAATTGATGCTTTTACCATTTGGGTATTGTTATTCACAAAATATTTTGAAAATTTGACTTTGTAATAACAGTTTCATCGGTAAGAATTGTTAAGAAATGTATATTTTCTTTATTATTTTTGAAGTTTGTGATGATTTTTTTGTGTTTGTCTTCTATTTGATGAATGTTGAACCATCAGGATTACATAATCTTTCTATCTACCTTTTGAGTCACTAATATTTATTTCAAATTAAGTGATGAGGTGACAAATGGGTTGCAGAAAAGTTAATAAATTGTTAGTAGAAATAATGAAATTCTGCATTGTAACATATACATAAGAATATATTACATATTTAATGCGAAAATTTGAATGTAATACAATAATTATGGAAATAGAGAAAAAAATATTTTAATTATTTTTATATTTTAAAGACATTATTATCTTTTATTTTATTTCTCACTCATGTAGCAACACTTTTTAAATATCATTTTTTAATAGATTGATAAAACATTGAAGGAAGTATTGTGACAATAAACCAGCTGAAGTATCTATTGGAAACGAAAATCCTGGGAGTTAGCTATGTAGTAAATAAAAAAGTTGTCGACGAGGCATTATATGACATTCTGGAAATTCATAAAAGGGTTTTGGGTCACGCTGGAAGATTTAGGAACGAACAAGTAATTTAACAATTTTGTTGTATTTAACATATTGTGGTAATTTATTTTTTTAAGGTGTATGTTGGAGGTCATATTCCGCCTCCTCCAGAGCAAGTACCTAAATTGATGAATGCGTACGTCGAGTGTTTGAATTTCGAGGAGATAATGAACATGCATCCAGTTCGGTTGGCAGCTTTAGCCCACTACAAATTAGTGGACATACATCCATTTTTGTATGGAAACGTTCGCACAAGTAGATTAATCATGAATTTAATATTGTTAAAGGCTATCCACCGATAATTATCTACAAGGACATGCATAAGTACTACGAATGTTTAATGGTGGCGAATACTGGAGACGTGAGACCTTTCGTCTCATAGTGTATTGTACGGATGAAACTTTAAATACTTATCTTTTTACAGAACAAGAAGGTGTGTCGCAGGAGCTGGAGGATTCTAGTCCTGTGATTGAGATCGACAAAATCGGAAACGTGTAATTAAATCAAATAGTAAAAATCGATTGTGATGTTTGTATATTAATAATATATGATATATTTATTACTTAACGCTTTGGAATAGGAAAGAAGAAGATATTTATATTGTAATAAAATTGATTGTCAACCACCAAAATAATAAATAATTTCATGTGATACAACTGAGATCACTAATTTTCATTTAAAAAAATATAGTTAATAATAAAATACATAGCTACAACAAACAATCCTTTAAACGGATTCCTTGGAGACTTCAGTTTTGGCTTTATCATCTGTCGACTTTGTCTCGGTTTCTTCAAAGCCGAGATTCGTCAGGCTCACCTCGTACGGCACGGACATCTTTTCGATGGCATTAATTTCTTTTTCCTTCTTGCTGTAGTCTTTGAACGCGTCCTGTTGATTGACTAGACCTGATCTCTTCTTCATGTAAATATGGAAGAAAGCCAGATACACGAAAGCGGTGAACGCGGATACCGCTGCAAATATCTGAAATGTTCCTCGCATGCCATAATATTTGATTAGGTAACCACCGACCAGGCTTCCAGCGCTCTTTCCTGTAAAGACGTATCATTTCATTAATAAAAATTGAATTGAAACTAAGAAATGCATAGTTATATGTGGGTCAAGGATCTGGTAGAATACTAACCAACGCCATAGAATAATCCACCAAGAATGCCCTGGATAGTCGTGTCAGTTGTTACAGAAGATAGTCTAGCTGCGTACGTTACAGCAGCTGTGAAGCATAGCGAATGGGTCAAGCATTCCAGTGCCTCGAAAATCAACGACAACCATGGATTGTAAATAATAGAATACCCGAATAATCTGACTGCGTATGTTAGGAAACCTATGAAGATGATGTTGGCATGGCCGATCTTCTTAATTAGCGGTCCGGAGAGTGCCAGCAACGGTATTCCTAGAATTCCCCCAACCGTTATGGTCAATCCCATCAGCGACTTGGTCCCGCCAAGATCTTGAAGCAGCCAGAATAAGTAATTTTCGATGTAACCCCAAGATGAACCTTGAATAAAGAGATTTTTGTTTGTTTTACTACGCTCTTGGAATCATAAAGAGCAGTTCAGTATACCCAATAGGAAAGCGGCAACGAAGAGCGAAATCAATTCGATATTCATAACGGACATAACATCGGCTACGACACTCGTGGCTGGTGTCTTGAATTCCAAATTAATGAGCATCATCAGAGCTGCGCTGATGATCTTCAATGCAGCATATAGAAAGAATACTGGCCTGGAAAGAATTTCACATTATCGCATCGCTTTTATATTTGTTTCCATTTCCTACCTATAGTCTGTGTAGCCTTTGCCTTGGCTGGCGTAGTCGATTAACAATCCTGCCAATGGCGAGCTGATCATACCACCTAGTGAAGCGTACATCCTTTGCAGTCCGTAATCAGCTTTGTATTCCCGCAAAATCGCAATCACTGCGCCTTCGAACATGGTGTAGGCCGTGCCTCCGATGATGCCGATGAACACTCGCACCGCCAAATACGACCAGAAGGTCACATTCACGTCGACTTCGACGACAGTATTCTTATTCGAACAGAAATTAGATCTGTCGCTGGTAGCTAAACACTTGGTCGCGCAGCTTCCCATCTCCAGGTTCTTATATACACTACCATTCCTATCCATCAAAGCCAACTGAACGCTTACGTACTCGCCCTTATCACCAGTAGCACAAGACACGTTTGACAATGTATCGTCCCCGAGGTGTATTATATCGTACACCCGTTTGTTTTCGATAATATCGTCATTGCTTTCGTTTCTTAGATCCACGCGCGCTTTAATATTGTTAAAAGACTTGATCTTTTCCAGTTGGTTCTTATTTCCTAGCAAACATGAATACCCATCTTCTTGATCCTCGCAGTAGAAATTGAAAAGAGCGGGCGTGGGGAAGTAGTATCCGTTCTGCGACAGCTTCCGTATCGCCGTAGTATAATGCTCATTGTTGGTCAACTTTTTGTGATTAGTCAATGGGTCGTTCGCGGTAGGATCAAAGTAATCCGTGGAGTTCGTAGTATACCGTAACGATTTGCTTTTATTTGCAACCAAATCGAACATGGTAATGTCGTAATGCATAGATCGAAATACGGATTCATCATCGTCCGGGTCCAGGTAGGCGTTACATATGTAGCCGCAGGATTGAATCGCTAAATCTACTTTCTGTGTATTGTTATTAATCCAGTCGCAAGGAAACTCATTGGATAGCGACAGTGCGGGATTTGAGTCGCAGTTCAAGCCTAATACAACGTCGTTTGGGTAGGTCAGGGTGATCCTACCTATAGGAACTAGAAGGAGGAGAAGGGCCGAGAGACCGCTGAATACTGAGAATAGGGCCAACATTAACTGCAATAAAGAACACGCTTGTTATTTCGCCAATTTTGATGCTGTTGCAATTAGTTACCCTAAAATTTCCTATTTTATCTGCCAACAGTCCTGCCAGTGGTGGCATCAGGATACCGATGACCGGAGTCACAGCGGACATAATAGCCGTTTCTTCTATGTTTATACCTAATTCTCTCATGTGGATCGTCAAGTACGGATACAAAACCAGTAGAGCTGCAGGAAACCCGAGCTGTCAGTATATATATACTGCGCGCAGAGCGCGTAGACTTACTGGACATATGCACGAAGAACAACACCTTCAGCGGCAACAGCTCTTTCTGCTTGAAGTCCTTCATGATCCTCCCGCCGAATTTCGCCATGTATTTGCCCATCTTGGCCTGCTTCCCTGTGGAACCTTACTGTCAAAGAAACCTGCAAACAGGAATCGTTTATCAAAGACATCGACCGCATTTTAAACTTTGTCCGATCAATATTGACATGAGATTACAATACAGTTAATGTACATCATATTCCATATCCAGTTATCTTCTGGAGGCCGAATACCTTAATGCATCCGCGGCATTTTCCGCGGTTCACGCGGAAACGGAACATCGCGCGTTATGCAATTACTATAGACAATTACCACGATTATGACAATACGCCGCAAAACATAAAACATATTTGTAACTGCGAGTTACGCAAGTGATCGTACCTTGTGCCATAATAGTGTGTCGCCACGGCGCTTTTGCGAATGATTGACCTCCGCCCAAAAAAAAAAAGAAAGATGATTTTGGTGTCGTTCGCAATAACCGATCGTGGTAATTTTCCGCTGCGAAAGGAATGCTAGAGAGAAGTATATATAAAAAAGAAAGAATTGAAAGAAAGAGCACACGCAAAAGAAGCACTGCCGTCCTTCCTCCGCAATGAGCGAACAACGATGATTGACCCAGTGACATTTGGAGTTGTTCCTTGCACAGCATCGGAGTTCTGGCTTAACGGTAAACGCGAACGGAAGTCCGGGGTGTTGCGAAAGGGCGCCCAAGAAGTGCCCAAGAAGTGGTCAGTTAGAAAGTGCACTGATATTTGTGTATACGTGAAACATTTAACATTGACCTACAGAACGGCAACATTTGTTGCTGTTCCGCGCGAGTGAAACAAGAAACTCTCACTTCCAGCAAAGTCGCGCAAAAACCTAAATTCCTCGAAAACAAAAATAAGAAATTTAATCAGAAATTATTATGGCAGGCGTGAACAGTAATAGCAAGAGGAAAATTAAAATAATTAAATGCATTTGATGGTACGCGAAATTAATAACAGTTTTCGACTTGGCGGCACCCAAGGATACGCAAACATTTGTAATGCACGGTATTTATTTATTTTTTTTTTACGAGTCGTGTCTTTTCTCTTTGTTGTTAGAGCCTCCCGGTATGTTCTTTGACCCACAATGCGGCCGCGGTGAATCACTTTCTCCATTTGGGCCGCTTCCTCCGGCACTGAAAATTGCGTACGCGGATCGCATCTAATGGTTTCTTTTTTTGGATAAGGAACGAACTGTAACTGTAATTCGAAGTGCTCACCTGTATTTGTTGTCTCCGGAGTCGCGATACCTGCAAGGATTCCGCTCGGAAAACGAAAGAAACGTTGGTGCTAGCTAGGACCACCGCACCGGATCCTGTTTGCAGACTTCTAGGATGTGTGTACAGGATGAGGATGCGACTCGACGGGACGGCTAGCGCATCGTACAATGTAACGGCTTATGTAACGACGGAGGAGGAGGCGCGAGAAGAGCGGTCGCGGTGGATGGACGACTGCAATGTGTTTTGCGAGCAAACTGAGCTCCGCTTGCGTTCACTATAAACCACTATCACCACTACTCTTGATAGTTCGAATTGAGTATTATAATTTCACCAATTGGGAGGCATCGGGAGTTTAGTTGATGATCTCGCGTTTTGTTGTCTCCGTTCTTCACCTACAAGACGTAACATCTGTACCAAATGAAAGCAGATTATTGATATAATTCATCAAACAAACTTACAGGAAATCTACGATATTGACAATATATAAAATTGTTTTCTTTTTTAATAAGTTTGAAAAATACAATTGTTTCGTTCAATTTTGTTTTTATATAAAAATTATTAACTCATAAAAATACGCTTCATCTCTACAAAAACAATAGCCAATTCCACCATAATTTCAATTGAAAAGCACTAAAAATATATTGAATTAGATATAGTTTTAAACAATTATTTACTCAAAATAAGATAAATAGTACATTTAAAATCAAAGTACATTGTTTTCTTTAGAAATTTACTCTTGTGAACCTATTTTTAAATATTTAACTAGCCAAATTACAAGATAAGTTGGGAATTCGATAAGTGTCTATGGGAAAGTCCCAGCAGTTATATAGTTTTAATTATGAGACACTAATTGTAAAAATAATATTGTAAATGGATTTCATTATTCAAAGTATTTGTTTTGTATATATTTGAAAATTGTTTCATACTGTCTGGTTTATATAAACTAAGTAACAATCTGCAAGTCGTTTTTGCAAATATTTTATAAATAAATTGTTTTAATAAAAACATTATTGTTAATAAATTATAGTAATTAATATTTGTCAAAAACCTATGGAACATTATATGTCAAGGCAATAACAAAATCAAATATTTATTTTTGTTTGTACTTATACTCAGGGACACCCTAATCACAGGGTTTAATTGTATATTTTCTTATGACGTGGGGCGCATTATCTTTAGTAGCCGACAGCCCCCCCCATTTCCTCGCATTATTCTTAGTACCACAAACTTTAAAGAATTAAAATAAATTTTATTACTAAAAAAAATAAATTTTCGAAAATGTCATTTTTTTTTGTTTAAAGTGTCCAATAAGTAATTTAACTTTACTTATTTAATTTTAATCTTATAAACTAATAGACTTTGAGTCTACAGGTAATTAGAATACCTCGAAATTATAAATAGAATATCAATTGATTTTTTTTATATTTACTAGGAATACATTTGCATAATTTTGTATGAATGTAACACATATAAACACAAAAATTAATGAACAAGATTAAAAAAAGAAGTTTCTCTAATTTCCATTGTAATTAATGTAATTTCGCTGGAAAAAATTAAATTAATTGTTGTGGATTTGTAGTTCGAATTTAGGGACAAACTAGTTAATAATAATATTTGTTATTATTAAAATAAAAAAAAACTACGTAAACTTTATTATTTAATTATTATGAATCCATATTCTGCATTGATTTCGGTTTAAATAAGTTTTTTTTTGTAAATTTTGAATTTGAAAATGTTGCATGTTTCCAACGAATTTTCCAAATGATATAATTATTGGTTTTCAGAAACACATAAACTGATGACCTTCTTGCTACATATAACTAATTGTGGATCAGTGCCAACGGCGATACGATCCTAGGATGGTCAGGGGTCAAGGTCGAACAGTTGCGGTAGCGTGTGTTTTGGGCAAACGAAGAAGCTTTAACGGAGAAGCTTTAACCGCATTTCCACATATAACGTGGAGAGAAAGTCATATATCGCAATTATGTTGTAAATAACGTAAACATATTTCGAATGTGCAATGGAACAAACACGAAAGAGTGAGAAAAAATAGTAACAATAAGAAGTAAATCACAAACCTTTATCGAGTGTGAATTTTTAGTCACGCCGATCAATTGTGTTTATTAAAACATTTCATTGCATTGAAGAATGAAAAGCAGAAATGGTAAGAGTAATAAGAATAAAAAAAATAAGGAAAGAAAAACAATGGTATATTAACCGATGATTCGGTATGGGAAATATTCGCATGCCTATGTGCTTAGGACATTTGGAAAACGAAACATTCCTTGCGTTGACTTTCCGATGTAAACGAAACAGATCAGGAAGAAACGATGGAGTTTTATTAAAGGACTTTTCTTTTAATTAATGACGACAAGTTACGTCGTAATACAGTGAATTCTAATTAATTATTTGCAAATGAAAAACACTCACAGATAATTGCAGAAAATACTTAAAAAAGATTATGCAATTAATTAATTATTTTGTTAAGGATACTAATTTGGAGATTTTGACTTAGACTTACACTTTTCGGAGTAAACAAAACAAAAAGATTATGAAGACACAAGGAAACGATGAAGTTGAAATTTCTTTTAATTAATGATATTCATCAATTGCACAGTAAAGTGTTTTTTCTCTCTCTTATCAAATTAATGATTGGCAATTTGTACTCGATTCACTAATGAATCATATTATGTTTATCAAGGATATTAATTTGGAAATTTCCAATCCAATCCTTCCATCGACTATTTGAATTTATTGTAATAAAAAGATTAGAAAAAAAACAAGGTTTTTGTAAAATGACTTTCTTTTAATTAATGAAGGACCTCATTTTGTAATGTTCCTTGCATCGCCTTTATCAGAGTAATAGTAAACAAAATGAGTGAAACAAGGATTTTGTAAAATTACTTTCTATAAATTAACGAAGGACCTCATTTTGTATTATTCTTTGCGTCACCTTTTTGAGAGTAATAGTAAAAAAAAATGAGGAAAACAAGGATTTTATAATAAGATCGTCTTTTAATTAATGAAGGTCCTCAAATTGAAATAATCCTTGCATCGGCTTTTCGAATTTTTTGTAACAAAAAGGTGAAAAAAACAAGAATTTTGTAAATTCAATTTGTAATATTCTTTGCGTCAACTTTTCGTAGTACATGTAACAAAAAAAAAAGAAAAACAAGGATTTTGTAAACTTTTGTAAAAAAATAATTAATGCAGGACCTCAATTTGAAATATTCTTTGTGTCAACTGTTGGGAATAATTAAAACAAAAAGATCAGAAAAACAAGGATTTTGTAAAATTATTTTCTCTAAATTAACGAAGGACCTCATTTCGTTATATTCCTTACGTTGCCTTTTATAAAGTAATAGAAATAAAATAAATGAAGAAAACAAGGATTTTGTAAAATAACTTTCTTTTAATTAATGGTCTTTCATTTTAAATATTCCTTACATCGACTTGTAACAAATAGGTCAGAAAAAACAAGGATTTTGTAAAATGATTTTTTTCTAAATAAACGAAGTATCTTAATTTGAAATATTCCTTGCGTCGCCTTTTTCAGAGTAATAGTAACAAAAAATACTAAAATATGAAAACAAGGATTATGTAAAATGACTTTCTTTAAATTTATGAAATATTACTTGCGTCAAATTGTCGAAGTAATTGTATCAAAATAATAAAACAAGGATTTTGTAAAATGACTTTCTTTTAATCAACGAAGGATCTCAATTAGCTTCTGTCTTAATAAATTAATGATTGAACACCATTCCATAAGATGATTACAGAAAAAGCTTAATTAAGATTATCCTATTATGTTTATCAATGACACTAATCCGGAGATTTACGGTTTTTACCTAGAACTGGAACTGATCTTGAAACACTGAGATTTATTTATAGTTTGCTGATGAAGGACTCGCATTTATAACTGATTACCGCTTCTTTTCCGAGATTCTCTTGACCAGTGATTGATTGATTTTTTTTAAAGAATGTTACGATCTGTTGTTGTTGAAGTGTAGATTGTGCAGTTGTCGGGTATTGTACTTTGGAATACAAGTATGGAATTTCTGTTTACAAAGGAAAAATCTTACAATGCCAACAGTTATCTAATTTTATTAAAAAAAATATTTATAGAAATATAAATTGTCCTTATTTTCATTATTCATTATTCTTATGTAATTAGATCCTTGAACGATTTGGATTTGTATACATTTATATACATCCAAAATAAATACTAGTATTCTCTCAAAAATCAGTTATTACATAAAGTAGTTATCAAATTTTACCTTGTTTTTACCTGTAATCATAAATACGAACCTTGGCTTACTTTGTTTTGTCTTAGTTTATTTACTAATTATTTTGTTTGAAAATTTGTTATATATTCTGAGGAAACATCGGATTATAAGAGGCACCTTAATTTTAAGCGTACTTTTCAATGTATGTCTTCAATTTTATCATGAAAACCAATTTGTAATCATGAGTATTCCAGGTATTAAGAACTGTCAAAAAATTAGACAAAAGCATGCATTAATTATGGAATGAGCTGCCAGGATGTATGAATTGGAACGAAATGCAAATGCAGGAAACGCGTATTGTACGCAACGAGAATTTCCTTATAATTTCGCGATTCGAGCAAAACAAAAACATAAGAAAAGACATAGATCGTGCTTATTCTATAAATCACAGCGAAATAGAAACTTTCCATCTACAAATGAATGCAAGAAATTAAATAAATCTAAGAGAAAAGAAAACAAAATGAACTAAAATCACTTTCCCAACTAATTGTTGTCCCAGCAAATTGCGGCACGCGATTTGTACCTTTCGGATATTCCAAAACAATAAGTAAATCTAGAACAGGTTCCATGGTCGCGACTATTCGGTTTTTGATCCTTTGACCCTAATTCGCCGATTAGGTCTTTGTGTCCAGTTTACCATTCCATTTGTAAACAAATTATCCAATTGCATCGAGCGGACAACGCAAACTTAACCATTGAAGATGAGCCTGTACTCGTTTTAATAACTTATCCTTCCACATCACATGGAAATCGTTGCATCCTTCCCCCGTCATCCTTTCATATAGGTAAATCACGTTTATGCGTTGCACGATGCAATACGTCTACGAATATCGTCGATTCCTTAACAAATATCGCCGACTCTTTGACTTTCGAAAACTAGTTTTTTGTTGTTTCTGTTTCTCTACTTCTTGTTTTCTTCTTCTTTTTTTTATATATTTACTTCTTCATTCTTCTCACAATGTTGCAAACAATCAAGTTGCATTGGAAAAAAACGGTCGCTCGTTTCTGCTGCTAATTTTTGTTCAAACACTTACACAGACACAACAGTTGCATTCCTGACTTGCTTTTCATCTTTTGTAATTGGATTCAGCTCTTGTTTTTTATTTGTTTTATTTGTATACATGAATTGCGTTATTCTCATTATGTACATGCCAAACAATTATGTTGATTTTGTAATGTAA